CATGGCTTTCGCCAGGTCGTTACACACGTTCAACCGCAGCAAAAAGATGAATTGTAAATTATCATGCAAGGCCGTCTACACGTCGATAGCCTCAAAAGTCAGACATGGTAGTTCGTCCAAGGTCTGTTTCTGGGGCTTTCTTATCAACGAAAGGGACTGCTTGGAGGAGTTCTGGCTCGTTGGTCTCGTTGCATCCCAGGAGCCTCTCAAGTGGGGCAGGGTATTGTTTCTGTGGATTTCTGCGGCTTCAGAGCGCTCTTGGGGTTGGAGGAACACTACAGATGCTTGGAAAAGTGCATCAGAGATCTTTGGAGGCTGCCGTCGTGTATAGCTCGCCATTAGAATATACTAATTTGCGTTTTTGATCGGCAGTTGCACCATTTTCACACTATTTGCTGGGCCGCTGACAATGCCAATCAGTTTCAATGTGCCTATTTTGATGACACGGTGGGATTTCCCTCGTGTCTAAGACAAATACGGTGGTTCTTGTGTGGGTGTTTCGTTTGTGGCTCCGACCTCTTTCCTTGTTTGCTTCGCTGTGGTTTCTAGGCTTTTTTTTGTCCGAGCCCGTTGCCTTTCGGCGGGTCTACGGTCTTGAGTCTCACTCGCGGACTAGCGGGGAATCGAACCACCACCGGCAGTCTGTCAGCGACTTCGCTGTTGTTTCTTGGCGAAACGTCGGTGCTCGTGGTTTCCTTCCTGTTCATCACAGACCGTGGTCCCTGTTGCAGTGAGTTCATTTCTGGCGCATGCCTTTGATCCTTGTCCCTGGCTACTGAACATGAAGGGCAGTTGGAATCCAGTCCTTGCATAGAGCAAGCAGAAATGTGAGAAGATTTGTTGAAGCATTGGAGTTGTATGATGTGAGATCCAAGAAGTTGAAGCATTTTCTATCTCAAGGGCGAGATTCAGTTCAGCATCTGAAAACCAGAAACTGGCTGAGATCCTCAACATCCATGACAGACATGGAAAATGTTCTCCATCATAGTTGTCTTCAGATTTTTTGATGCTAAGGCGATGTTTTAGGAAGTGAAGGATTTTTCACTTTTCAGATCAGCTCTTGGGATCTGCATCTGTGTGAGCTAAGAACTTCGTGACATTCAGCATTCAGTGCATGTGCTGGCTATGTACATGGCAAGGCCTAGGCGTCCCTGTGGAGTAGTTGGTAGGGCGACGTTCTTGACGTCGCGGACAGACTACCGGTGGCGGTTCGATTCCCCGCTGGTCCGCAGGTAAGCCTCAAAGTGTGGTGACCAGGCGAAAGCCAATTGGCGCCGTCCACAAAAAATGTACATGGCAAGGCCTACAAAGACAGCAATGAGTGCGATCAAGAAGCTGGCATGCTATGTGATGTTTTCAAGGATATGAAGATGTATTATAAGAATGCCGAACTGCATCAGACAATCATGCAGAAGTGGTATAGGTATGGAGGTAGGAAGTTTGACACCAAGCCCCACATGCTGGAGCTTTACAGCGACTGAGCACCAAGGTGCCAAGATGTGGCATGGGAAGTCAAACGCGTGTGGCAACTACGTCTTGATTTAACAAGTGACCAAGCGTTTTTCACGAGACTTGGGTCAGGGAAGGCAAAATGTGGACGTAACAAGCAATGAGGCGTCAATGGTTTGAGGCCTTCAGAATTTCCACAAAGGAGAACCCAGCAGACCTCAACACAAAAGCTCTGTCAAGAGAATTCCTCATGAAGAGGATTGGTCTTGTGAGTGAAATTTTTGGAGGAGATGAAGAAATCCCTTATCAAGGGCAGAAGAGACAGCTTGTGAAACTGCTGGTGAATATGATCATGGCGAGCAACTTGCAAGGATGTGGGGAAGAACTTTGGCATTGGACAAGTTCGACAAAAGCATTGGAGAAACCGATGGAATTGGGTGCCAAATAACAAGATGGCATTTGAAGTTGGCGGTGTTTGTGATTCTCTGCATGGCCATTGTGATGCTTCGAATCTTGTACAAGTTGACGGAGAAGATGGAGAGGATCGAGAACTACAAGAAAGCAATTCAGCAGATTCAAGAGATTGCCCGTTTTGTACCTCAGGGAGTCAGGGAGAAGTTCTGTATTGTGAAGAATTAGATGGAGAGCCTTTTGCTGAACATCATGAAGAAGAAGAACCAAGTCCTGATGAGACCGTGGCAGATGGTGAAGCAGAAGATCCACTGAACGCAATGGGATTGACATCGGCAGGAAGTATCAATGGAGATGTGGAAACTGTTGGAATCCGACGGGTTCTTCAAGCTGAAGGAGCGCATGGCGCTGCAGATGGAGATGAAGCTCGAGTTCCTGATGAAGGTGGTGCGGATGATGGACGAGAAGCAGATGACGAAGATGAATCATTTGAGGTTGAAGAAACACCCGCAGAAAGGTACCAACGGTATCTACAATCAACCAAGGGGGAGGTCAGCGACGAGGTGAGTTGGGCGGAGATGCACTACGGTTCTGGGACGCGAGATGAAGATGAACATGGTGACATGGTGATGATTTGGCTTCAACGAGATCGAGGTCAAGGAATGATGATGAGAGTGATGGCATCCCTCGACCCGAAGCACGGCCAAAACCATTGGCAAAACAATGACCCGCAGAATCGCGATGGACAAAGCCATGCAGATGCATGCTGAACGTGTGATGAGTGGAGCTGAACCTTCAAGCCTTCAAGCTCTTCAAGTCCCCCTGTACTTGGCATTATGGATGACCGCAACTATTTCCTTTGCAGTGTGCCTGTGGCGAACTACTTTGGAATCATGCCTGTTCCTCGTGCGCCCGATGCATTGGACGACTACAGGTGGGATCAAATCATGCAAGGCATAGGACCCGAGCATCTGGTTGTGCTCAATTGCTCCAATTTGTCAAACTACATCCCGTTGGAACAAGATCCTCAAGTACAACGACGTCATCAACGTCTACTTCGAAATTTGCAGAATCTTTTGGTGAAATTTCAGTCTGGCAAAGCAGAGTTGTGGATTGAAACTGCAGAACAAACGAAGAGCTGGCTTGATGATGATCGGCATGTAGCTTCTTTGAAGGGCCAAATACAGAATTTGGAAGTGTAGCTGAAGAAGGTGAAAATCAGAAACAGATGATGATCCATCACAGCCTGGCGATGGTGGTGGAGGTGATGATGATGCAAGAGGCGATGGAGATGGTCGTGGCAGACCAAACTACGACTATGACGAGGAGTGCCCCAATGGTGATGGTGGCAGTGGAGAACACCATAGCCGAGTCGCGGTGCGGCCTTCATCGTCCAGACCTTCTAGCAGCTTTATGCGTTAGATGTAGGAATGTAAAGAAACACCAACAGACATGACAACAAGGATCTACAGTGATCCTGCGGTGCTAACAAATGAAAAATTACATGTTGCAGTACAAAAAGGCCAAACCATTCTAAAACGAAGGTTTGGAGGCGGGGTGTCAAAATAGATCGGTGACATTTGCCCCATTTCAATAGCAGCATGTTAACGGATGTGAATAGACGGGGTCACCGCTACAAGTGGTTCCAAAGAGGTGAAAAGGAACCGCTCCGTTCTTTGACATATATACATATTTGCATATATACATATATCATATATACATATTTACATATATACATATGTACGTATATACATATATACATATATACATTTATACATTTATACATTTATACATTTATACATTTATACATTTATACATATATATACATATATATACATAAATAAATATATATATATATATATCCACATATACACTTGTACACCTATACACGTATACACCTATACACGTATACACGTATACACGTATACACCTATACACGTATACACATATACACCTATACGCGTACACACGTACACACAGATACACGTGTACACATATACACAGATACACGTATACACAAACACACACACACACACATACATACGTACGTAGACAGACAGACAGCCACCCAGGCAGGCAAACAGACAGAAAGATAGACAGACAGACCTACAGACCTAAAGACCTACTCGTACAGACCTACAGCCTACACACCTACATAACAACATGCCTACATACCTACATATCTACATACCTTCCTACCTGCCTACATCCATCCATCCATCTATCCACCCATGCATACATATAATTTGATTCGATGTGAGAAACCCTATCGGGATTCTGTTGGGTACAGCAGTTGCTCCGCCTTGATTGTCGGTGGGCAACCTCAATGGGTCCATTCATTTTGAAACCTTGAAAAATAGGCAGAAAAATGACACCGGCAGTTCAGCTGCCCATGACTGGTGTGCAGGTCATATCAGCCTGGGTCATAGATGAAGGGACTCTCAACTTTGGAATGTCAATGAAATGAAAAGAACACTAACGTCAATCCCACTTCTTTTAATTTTGGCCATGAATTTACCCATTTTGGTTCGTTCTGGGTGCTTAGATGTTATTGTTCTCAAAAAAAAAAATCCAGATATGGTTACCTCCAAACCCCATGGTTTCTCATCCACAGGTGCACGGGGTGTCCATTTGATGGCACCGGCACACCTTCCCCTGTGGTGAATCCAGTGCTCCTCGGTGCCATACTGTCAACGCCTTGGATGATTGGATCTACATTGGGATTTCCATTGTTGCATAAATTTCACACAGGTAGAATCTTGATGCGGCGGACAATGACGTGCGTTTGATTGTCGCTTTGTTTCAACGTAATTTTTCAAGTATTCAAGGATTAGCATGCACATTGGTCACATTGGACGACATGGACATGGTGTTTTTGTGTTTTCTCCATCCCCTGGGGTGCAAGCAGATTCATGATGAACAATGCATGGTATATAGTGTTGGCACTGCTTGGCACATTTTTTTTGGCCATTTTTTTTGCGATGCTGGTGCCCGCACTTGATGTTGCCAAGGTTGTGAATCACTTACACAATTCATGTCTAGAGAATGTGTCGACCACAATTTGCCAATTTGGAAACGATTATTGCGTTGGCTGCCGGTTCGAGCGGTAGCAGCAACGCCTCTCTCTTCGTTCCACCACCATGGGAAAGCCTCGCGGAATCCGATGTGCCCGTAAATTGAGGGTCCACAGGAAGGAAGCTTTGTGGGCCGACAAGGAGCTTTTGGATGCTTCTGGCACGTTTTGGCATCAGATCTCTTGACATTTGGCATCGAAGGAAAATTGCCAGGTTTTTGCCTGTGTTTGCAACATTTCATTTGGGATGTTTTTCTTGAAGGACTACAAGAAGGCAAACCTGGGTACCAAGTACAAGTGCAATCCTTTCGGAGGCAGGCTTGCTTCGGCAAAGAGTCTGTTTGAGTGAGAAGAGTCGTATGCTCTACTTAGCTCGTTGATTTGTTGATTCGAAAAATTTAGTTCCCGGCTTCCAACGTAATCTGATCTAGTTTGCAGGCACCTCCCACGCCAAGGGCATCGTTGTCGAGAAAATTGGCATTGAAGCAAAGCAGCTGCTTGTTTGCGTTAGATCTCAAAATTTTTGAGCCATTCGGGTCCGTTTTGTATTCTTTGAAAAAATGAAACACAGTTTTAGATCGGATTAATAGCGTGGGGACCTTTCTCCCCTCCGAGTATATACAAAGGAGTACAGTACAGGCAGTACAGCACAGGAGTAAGAAAAGGGGAGTGTATGTATTTTTGTGGGTGGTCCCGCGTCATTGCTTGAAATGTTTTTTTTTGGGCATTACCCTCAACATGCCTTTTCAGGTGATAGTGGTTCCGCTGAGTGAAACGGTATTGACTTTTGGGATATTTTTCAATTCCGTTCCTTCACAGCGGCAATGCGGTCGTGTTCGAAATCCATTGCAAACAACCGAGGTACAAACGTAATGGAACCACATTACAAAAAACATCCTAGTATGCAGTCATTCTAGAGGCATGATCATTATTGATTTTCAAAAAAGGCAGATGAATTCTTGATGAAACCAATGACTTCTATCACGGACCGTGATAGGTCCGGGATAGATTTTGATCGTCAAGTAACTGTGATACATATTTGTTTTATGGTTCATTTGTTAAGTATCCAACTCTGATTGATATTGATATTCGTAGATGATAATGAACTTTAGAAACAAGTAGGTACATAGATTGACCTCTTTTACAAACCCTTTCAAAGCCGTTTCAAAGCACTTTGAGAGCAGTCTGAGGGAGCCGTTTTATTTTGTTTTGGTTCTCAGGACTGACACAAAGAAAATAGAATGAACATGATTGGAAGATATGGAAACGGAAAAGAGAGCGAACGACATTCAATCAAAATGAAAGGAGATAAGAACAGATCAAAACCATGAAAAGGAAATACAAAAATGAAGGGCATGAAAGGAAATGAAAGGACATGACAGGGAAATGAAAGGAACATGAAAGGAAGATGGAAAGAACATGCAAGAAACAAAGGAACATGAAAAAAAAATCCGCGAACTACAAAGGAATACAAGGGAAATTAGAGGAAATCTAAGGACAATGAGAAGAAATGCGAGAAAATAAGGAATGTAACAGGGCAGTTCCATTACGGCTGCAATTTGGTAACGTTCGAAAACCTTTGCACAAAACAGAATTGCAGCCGTAGAGTGGAGTTGAATTGAAAACATCCTGATACTCAATGATTCTGGGGTCCTTCGAACAAATAGAAAACCATGGTTCTTCTGCCCCTCGAGAGAAGGAACTGATTGATTGGTCATTTCATTTGGTTTTGGCTGTTTCATTATGGAATGTAATTTCCGAGATCTTTGGGGTGGATCATGTCTGCAATTGGATCAGATACGGAGGATGGCTACTTCCGGCCTCGATCTGTTGCCAAACCCTTGACAAATCCATTTCAAAGCTCTTTCAAATCAGTCTAAGGGAGATCGTTTTTGGTCGAAAACAGGAAGATGGAAGGAAATGAAAAGAACATGAAGGAAACACAAAGAACAAGAAAAGAAGTAACAAAAATTCAAGAAATGAAACGATAATACGCAGATGAAAGGAACATGAAAGGACATGGAAAAACATTAACAGAAAATTAAAGGAACTGGAAATGATCATGAAGAAGATGACGAGAAACAACGAAACAAAACACGAAAAGAACATACAAGGACAGGAAAAAAACCTGAGAGAAACACGAAAACACATTAAAACAACATGAAAAAAACATGAAGAGACAATGACAAAAACACATCTTGCCGGACCGAACCATTTTACATAACTGTGGCTGGTTTTATCAGCCATGAAACATGACCGAATACTAAAGTAGCATTCCGCAGAGGACAACTCATGCTAAGAAAAATCCTCCCAAGCCGAACACCCTTGATATTTTAAATGATTGTGGGTGGTTTTATTAATAGCACCTAGAGATCAGTGACTCGTTCTTCAGTTTCCAGTCAGCTCTTTGATGGATCTTCAGTCAAGGGTTCCATTGGGTCTGAGGCCAAACTCCGCCATCCGCAAATGCTGCCGTGGTAAACTTATTGCTGTGTGGATGGCTGCTGCAGCTATGTTGACACATTGTTTTCTTTGAATCAAGTCAATATCATTCAACTTTAGGTGTTCAGCTGATTAAGAACGGCAAGAAGATTGCGGCGTTCGTGCCAAGGTTGGTTAGAATCAATCTGTGGCATGTCTCGATTGTACTGTCTGGTACCAGACTGTGTCCGATCCACAATTGTCCAACAGTGTTTCTTTTTGACCAGTTTCAGAGTTTTCGTGCCAGTCCGATGTGACAAAACGGTTCGGTCAGTGGTCGTTGCTGATGTCGTGGTAAATTCGGTGGGTTTACTTGTTGTTCTGGTTTTCTCGGCCACAGGTCCCTAAGTCCAGCATTTGGGTTGCAACAGCAGTAAGACTGGGCCAGGGATGGCTGCTTGAACTTCATCGATGAGAACGACGAGGTGCTGATTTCCGGTTTCGGCCGACGTGGTCACGCTGTCGCTTCCTCAGAATGGATGCAGAAGGATACCACAGGCCTCATTATGTATGTCCCTCAGACATGAAGCGGAAAATTATTGAAAGAAGCTCGGTGCATGAGGTCGGTGATATTCCTGGCGTCCGATTCAAGGTCGTCAAGGCGGAATGTCATTACTTTCAGGAGTTGATGTGTGTCATGGTATGTTTTTCCATGGGTTTTCCACAAATTTCTTTAGGGCCTTTAGGGCGCATGAAATGATGATCTCGGATGAAATGGATGCACAATGCACAGCTCCAGGTGGCAGGCTGTGGCCTGGGTGCCTTGTACAGGAACAAGAAGGACATAGTTTTTGCGATTGCTGCCAAGATACAATTTTGGACCCGATGCTCAGCTGGACATGCTTTCAGGAGAAACCACGTTCGTAACTCGTGGCCTTGCATCAACATGAGTCAGTAAGAAGTGAGGCTTTAGCTCAGAAAGCAGGCACGTGTGTGACAGCTGCTTGGCAAAAGAAACCTTTAGACTGTGCTTGTCTTGGCACTTTTGGAGTTGTGTCTCTGCGACTGCTTCGAAGCGAACATGACAGCTAACAAATGAAGAAACGCCTTTGCAGACAGGCATAGTGTGCAGCCATAGCTACGATGCTGGTATGCCCCATTCATGGTGCAGAAACTTTTGTTCCGAAGCTGCGTTGCTTAATCAGCTTGACACAGTCTCAAGAGCCTATATTTGCTCGAAAGATAACGCAAATACATGCAAACATCAAATCCTATTGGTGTGATCACGGATTCCAATTCTTGAGACTTGCAGAGAAAGTGGTTCATTCCTTGCGATGAGTCTTGTGATACTGTGGAAATTCCATGAAAGGTAGATCAAGACATTCAAGACCAACCAAAGGTAGCAACAAACCAAGCACCACGTTTGGTTTCCTTCCTGTGGCCTTCCACTTACGCATGGCGTGCGGGTAGAACCTGTCGTATGTCCAAAGGGCCAGGCGCGATTCTGATGGCAGGACATATGCAACTCAACACTCTGTTGAGCTGTGGATGCTGTGGATTGTGGATCTAACAGATGTGGCCAATTAGATCCGGTTGTAGTTATAATGATCAATGGCCAAATGGCCAAGCTGAGACCCGTTTCATGCTTGCCCTGAACGTGAGTAAACAGCTCAGAGAAATCCATCCACATCAGTCCCAGAAAGTATTTTTTAGCGCTGGGAGGCAGAGGTCCTGGTCCTGCAGATCAGAAGGTGGAGCTCCGAATTGTTCGAACAGAACACTTTGGATACTCAAATTTGTTGGTTATTGATATTGTCAGATTTGGTTATTTTTCTATGTTTTTCTTCGGACCTTGATTTTATCAGATTGGAGGCAATGCCTGCAACGGGGTCTCCATCGCGAAAGAAGCCGTTGCCTGAGTATGCAGCAGTTGAAACACGTTGCAACATAGTTCAGTGATGTATACGGTACCCATATCAGTAGTTGATGTAGTGATGTTCAGTGTGACTAGGATAAGAACTGTTTGCTTGGAGCTGTGTCTTGAGCGTGGCAAGCTCGATTTGATGGGCATTTATGGAGTATAATCTTTACGTCTTGTGCATAACTGAATTGTTTCTGTAGAGCTTGGCAGCAGTTGAAAGGAAGCGATCTCCTTCGCGAGAGGCTCGTTCCAAGGCCACTTGTGATAGCCACGATTGCATTTGTGAGAAAATGGGATGTCCTTGACTGATTTGGATTCCATATACATCATTATACATCCATATACCATGGCAAGTCTTATGCCTTGAAGACAGCTATACTATGCTATACTTGCATCTGACAGGTCTTGAAAGCCTCCCGGTCGAGATCAAAGGGCGACAGCAAGAGGCAAGGATCCCACGGATGTTGAACGATGGGCACACTCAAGTCTGCTGTCTCTCCTCATGTGCTTCTCTTTGACGAAATCAAAGATTTGAGAACTTAACATATCTATACAATTCTATACATATCTTAACATCCTGTCAGCAACACAAATTTTCGTTCCGATTACAGGGCAAATATCTCTGTGCTTGTCGGCTCAAGCGGTAGCAGCAGAGGCTCAGTTTCGCCCGTCTCTTCTTTTCACCATGGGAAAGCCTCGTGGAATCCGATGTGCCCGTAAATTGAGGGTCCACAGGAAGGAAGCTTTGTGGGCCGACAAGGAGCTTTTGGATGCTTCTGGCACGTTTTGGCATCAGATCTCTTGACATTTGGCATCGAAGGAAAATTGCCAGGTTTTTGCCTGTTTTTGCAACATTTCATTTGGGATGTTTTTCTTGAAGGACTACAAGAAGGCAAACCTGGGTACCAAGTACAAGTGCAATCCTTTCGGAGGCAAACTTGCTTCAGCAAAGAGTCTGTTTGAGTGAGAAGAGTCGTATGCTCTACTTAGCTCGTTGATTTGTTGATTCGAAAAATTTAGTTCCCGGCTTCCAGCGTAATCTGATCTAGTTTGCAGGCACCTCCCACGCCAAGGGCATTGTTGTCGAGAAGATTGGCATTGAAGCAAAGCAGCTGCTTGTTTGCGTTAGATCTCAAAATTTCTGAACCATTTGGGTCCGTTTTGTCCTGGGAGCAAAGTAGTGACCAGTTCTTCAAGGGTTCCATTGGGTCTGAGGCCAAACTCCGCCATCCGCAAATGCTGCCGTGGTAAACTTATTGCTGTGTGGATGGCTGCTGCAGCTATGTTGACACATTGTTTTCTTTGAATCAAGTCAATATCATTCAACTTTAGGTGTTCAGCTGATTAAGAACGGCAAGAAGATTGCGGCGTTCGTGCCAAGGTTGGTTAGAATCAATCTGTGGCATGTCTCGATTGTACTGTCTGGTACCAGACTGTGTCCGATCCACAATTGTCCAACAGTGTTTCTTTTTGACCAGTTTCAGAGTTTTCGTGCCAGTCAGATGTGACAAAACGGTTCGGTCAGTGGTCGTTGCTGATGTCGTGGTAAATTCGGTGTTGCAACAGCAGTAAGACTGGGCCAGGGATGGCTGCTTGAACTTCATCGATGAGAACGACGAGGTGCTGATTTCCGGTTTCGGCCGATGTGGTCACGCTGTCGCTTCCTCAGAATGGATGCAGAAGGATACCACAGGCCTCATTATGTATGTCCTTCAGACATGAAGCGGAAAATTATTGAAAGACGCTCGGTGCATGAGGTCGGTGATATTCCTGGCGTCCGATTCAAGGTCGTCAAGGCGGAATGTCATTACTTTCAGGAGTTGATGTGTGTCATGGTATGTTTTTCCATGGGTTTTCCACAAATTTCTTTAGGGCCTTTAGGGCGCATGAAATGATGATCTCGGATGAAATGGATGCACAATGCACAGCTCCAGGTGGCAGGCTGTGGCCTGGGTGCCTTGTACAGGAACAAGAAGGACACACTGCAACGGTAGACCAAAACTGTTGGTACAGTATCCGTATGTATCCGTTTTGTAATATGATGCAATTACATATATATATATAATGATACATATATATATATATAATTATAAGATTTCATCATTTATCTCCATTGATTGTCTTAATTTCCATGCTTGAATTTTGTACTTGAGGGCAGCTTTGTGATCGCTTCCTTTGACATGACTTAAGCCTTAAGCCAAGCGATGCAGGAGAAGCCACGTTCATGAGTGATGGTGGCTATTAGATTTTGGCCCGTAAAGATGATTGGACCAATTCAGCGAGAGTGACAAGCCATGCTGCCGAGAAAAAAGTGGTGCGCAAAGTGTCCTTGAGGACAATCTGATTCTGCTGATTCTGGAAGTTCGGGACTCTTATCGACAGTTCTTTGCTTTTTTGTCTTCGCAAATGGCTCACATCAGCCATGTCCCGTTGTCATTCTTCGTGAATCGCCAGGAAACTAAGATCGCGGTCCAGATCGCGTCGTTCCAAAGATCGTGAACGATCGCCGAGTTCTTGGGTGTATGCTCGGCAATGGCTTGTGTGGGCTTTTATTTGAGAATCAAACATTTTGACATATTCTGACATGATTCTATGATATTCTATGTGCATCCTAACATTGGAGTTGGATATGTTGGATGATTTGCTTTTGAGGCGTGAAAGACAAAAGCGACGTCGAAGAGGCACCAGTCCGTTGCTTCAAGTCACACGGCAAAGAGTTTCTGATTCTGTGAGTGCTGATACAACACTGTGAGTACTGATATTATCAAACTATATAGCAGATTTCTTCCGAACCTCCTCATGTCATTAGACATTGCGACCTGATCTTCCGCAGATAGCGACTCCAGTGACAGCCGTCGCGGAAGAGATGGTCGCAGGCTCGTCGGGCCTTCGGCAAGACAGTTATGAGCAGTCGATGCAGTTGATGTCCAGTGGTAGTTTTGAAGCTAGGTGAATGTTGATGGAGTCCTTGGCGCCTTCAACATCCATCTCCAAGATCTTTTTTTTCACCGAGAATCGATACTGTTTCCACTTGCATCATGAAGATCTTATCAGCAAACTCTGAGGGTTGTTGAATATTTATTTTTGTCATTTGGTTTCGTCATGTTTTTGTTCTTGTCATTCCTGTTTTGTGGTTTCCTTTTTTGGTCATTTTGTTGTCATTAATTTTTTTTTGTTCATTTTCTTGTCGTTTTCTCATCCGGCGCGGGTGGCTGGATCCGGAGCCGACCTGGAAAGTCTAAAAGCGTCATTATGCACGCGAGTCAGTTTTTTGTCATTTTTTTTTCGTCATTTGTTATTTTTTTTTGTCGTTATTTTTTTCATTTCCCCGTGACAACACAACGACAACAAAATGACAATAAAATGACAACGCTTATCCGGCTTATCCAAAATTGTAAACCTGAATGGCAAAAACATGACAACAAAATGGCAAAATATTTATTTTAGATTTTGAAGTGTTTGCAGGCCCAAGATATTCGTAACACTTGGAGCTTTTCGGGTGACTTCTGACCCGTTGTTGTTGCTTGGTTTGATCATTTCCACATACACATGTTGATGCTGTTTCCCCTTTCCATTTGTATTCAAGGCGACAACGGGTGACGAGTTCCAGCAGCTCCCTTCCCGTGTGGCATCGCAGAAGGAAGCCCAAAGCAAACTGCCATAGCTGAATGGTAAATGAACGTTCAAATGATAGACATTGGTTGATGTATGTTGATGTTATTGATGTCCAGTCCTTCCCTTGGCACTGATCATTCCAAGGGGGCTTCATGGGAGCTGATAAGGCTCGGCGGCGACGTTCTCCGGACCGCAGACGCTCACCAGATCGCAGACGCTCACCAGATCGCAGGCATGGCATGGGCAGGGAGGTTCAAAGTCAGTTGGACTCCAACAGTGGTCTGAGCCGTTCCACATCATTTCAAGAGTTTGGGAGTGGCTCTAAGCATTTTACCAGCCAGTTTGTGGGTCGCTTGGAACCCCATATCTATTCTTGAGCTCTAGACATTTTCTTTCCAAGTAAGTGGTATATGGGTACAAGTATGTTGCAGGCGGAGCAGTGATCGTGGCCGCCGTGATCGGAAGCACAAAAAAGACAAGGACCATTGGGTGTGGGATCAAAAGCTTGCAATCGAGCGAGACCCTCAAGAAGCGTAAAACTCAGGTGTGTTGATACAAGCTTTAAGGACAAGTCATGACCACTGGGCAGCTAGCGGGACGAAACAGTTGAATTCTTGGATTCAACATATTCAACTTCCCTTTCCCTCATAATTCATTTTACAAAGCGGGGGGGCCAAGTGCGGAGGGTGGAGGGTTTACATCAATTGTCCATGTACTGTACCGCATGTCCTGGCAGTGGATCTTGCAAGGAGGCACAATGTCTATCAATGTCCGACAAACTGATCACACGATATGCCATTTGCATCCATTTGCATCAATGCGCCATACTTTGTTTACCGCAGTGTTTCAATTGATGTTTCCAGCACATCCAAGAGTGTCACTGGCTTTGTGTTTTCCTGCCATGTTCCAGGACTCTGGTTCTGAAGTACGTACCTAAGTGAAGATTATCTCTTCGGTGTATGTTGTCCGTATAATGTCCGCATGTTGACCCTTTGTGCGAGAAGGCGATTGCCAACTTCGGACATTGTGCACTTGGAAAAACCGTGTCCCGAAGGAAGTATCTTGAAGTAAAGTACGTAAAGTACTGGATTGGACGCAGCTGTGAGTACCGAGGCGAAAGCCGAAAGGGAAAGTAAGAACGACAAGAAGAAGGACCAAAAGCTGGACACATACCTTTTTCATCCTTTTTCTTTTTAGCTTGGGGATATATAATCAAAGTATGTTATAGTCGCGAAAGCAGTGGCAGAGCTGTGTCCAAGCATTCGTCATCTCCAAGATTGGATCCGCTGGAAGTTGGAGTGACCCTCCAGATCCTCCAGTGCTTCACATGTTTTCCTTTCTGACACAGGATAACAATTTCGACAAGGAAGTCATTGACGTTGTGAGACCTGATCCTGCCAGCAAGGACAGCACATGAGCTTAGATCATGTCAAATCTGTATGTTTGGCATTGAGACAAGCTGTGAGGGAAGTTGTGCAGGATATAGGCACCAACGGTTTGAAAGCTACCGAGAAAACTTCCAAATTCAGTCCGATCGAAGCACGCACCTCAGCACAGGATACAGAGTAGACTGCAGGTCACAACTTGCTCAGATGGTATGGATCTCACCGTGTCAAGCTGCACGAGCTGTGGAGATGATCCCGCATCAGGCCCACCAGGTGCCTTTGACGAATCCATATCCGAAGGGATCTGCTGAGGTTCGGGGCCCAGTGACGTCAGTGACGTCAGTGACGTCTGGGTCGGCCGGGTTTGATGCCAGGCCTTGCGACTGGATGCGGCGCGACTTGAGGTGGTCCGGAGCTTTGGTCTGCAGGGATGATATCTGGGAGTCTGACGGAGTCTGAGTAAAGTTGAAAATGACATGAGCATGTTAAAATCGAATTGAAGATCACCCAAGGATCATGAAGAATTCTGAGCTACTTGGAAAATCACCGTTAGAGACCTCAATCTGCTTCCAATGGTTGATGGCCTTTGAGGCAAGACTGCGGGCCTTGGGTCAGATGCCTCCGCCAGCATTGATGAAAGAGGCAACCTGCATCAACGGACACCTTTGTATTACACCTCGGTACGGCCTTTTCCATCTTTTACCAGCCAGCTTTTGTGTGCGTCTTTGGGTTGTGGAATTTCAAATCGACAGAAATTGCTTTGTTGTCAGCAGGACCGATGCTTTTGGGGGTACTCAAGTTGAGGTAAGCCCCCCCCATTCGAGGGTCCCAGCGCAGATGTTTGAATCGCAGGTGGCAGCCGGGGCCAAAGCTGCTGCCGTAGCCCCTGGATCTGCTGCAGCCCGAGATCAAAAACATTTAGTAATGGCAATTGGTCCAACATCCAGAAATTCGGTATACTTGAAAATAGTGACTTTACTAGGGAAGCATATAAGAATGATGACAAGACTTGTGGTACAGTGGTAAAGCTTATGATAAGTCATAAGGTTTTGGGGCACCCTACTTTCAGACAAAACCATATGGCGCGCGAAAAAGGTCCAGCCGAAGCCGAAGAAAGCAGCGCCGGGAGCTCAGAGGATGTGATCATCTGTATGCTAGAAACCAATAATTTGCTATAATTTGCTATATGGAAGGGAAAGGATTATTGGACAAAGTCGGGAGGTCAGCACTACGTCACTACAATAAAACAAGAGATATATATATATTAATATATATATATAATATAAAGATATATGTTAGAGATATATATGCTTCAAAATTGTCAGCAACCACTGCTTCATAGGCAGCGTTGAGATGGCGCGAAAGTTCCGAAACAACTTACAGCCTGAGCTCCTGAGGCCTGCTCCATGGATGGCGGCTCGGGCTGTCTTTGCCGGCAAGGTGGGGCGGCGATGAAACAGCGAGTTGGTTTAGCAAAGTTTAGTAGTTCTCACAGATATTGACAGCATGTGGTAGTACATACACTATGTACACTTCATACATGTCCTGCTTCTCTTTAGATTTGCTGTTCGATCTTGCAACTGTGTCGTGCTTGTAGTTGTCTCCAAACATGTTCAACTCAATGTGTCCTCAGGATGGAGAGAGTTCTAAAACCTCAGAACCTGCCGCTGGCTTAGGTCGTTCGCAGATTTCCCCCAGAAACCAACTCAGCTGGTGCCAGAATCTACAGCATACATCTCACACATCTCCCTTGCAAGGCAACTCCAACAGGGGATGGCAAGGAAGGTGCAAAACCAAGTGAAGATGGAAAATCCATGAAAATCCTTTGCTGAGTTCAGTTGTAGCTGGTTGTAACTTCCATCCTGCAGCATTTCAGATGCCAGGTGCCGCAAAGAGCATCAAAAAACTGGACAGCTCCGAGCTGTCCGAGTGACTCGTCTCAGTTGCTGGACCAGCTGTTGGGATAAGTTGATTGGATGGAGTTAGACGTCTCTTGGTTGAAGCTGGTGAATCAGTCCCAGAAAATTCCAAATTTGTCGGGAACCCTCAGAATTTCAGAACATCTCGCAGAATCTCGCAGAGATAAATTGTGTTTCTGCGCAGAAACCATCCTGTATTCGGGCTTAATTTTTGGCCGAAGTTATTTCCTTCAGGGCCCCGACTTTAAGGCTCTCCAAAAGCATCGCGGAGGAGCGGAACAAGCTACGCCTCTTCGTTGTGAAGGCTGGGCAATCTTAATTTGTACGAGCCTGTTACAGAGCCCATCAGGATCCACAGATTGTTTTTTATTCCCGAGATTTTGACAGTGGACCCATCCCCCATTCGGCCATTCGGGCACACAAAATGTTGGACCCGTTGCTGCACGGGCAACTTGCAAAAGCATTGCCGTTTTTCAGGAGATATCGTGATCCCGTCGAAGTTGACGTGTTGGTACCCACACGGGATGCAAAGATTGGAAGCAATCTTCATAGAAGTCAGTGATTTTGGTAGTAGTTCAATGCGATATGTCCAAGGTTGGACGTGATTTAGGCAGGACGAATCAGCGATATCACTGCAAACAGGCAAAGTCAGACTTCGAGGAAAGAAAGGAAAAGGCCCTTGATGCCAATTGGGAAGCATGTGCGTGGTACTGGAAGGTCATGTTTCTGTTTCATTCTGGTAGTCTTCTTACATTCCTATACATTATGGAATCTTGGCTGGGCTGGCTGTTGATGGCCGTTTCATTGCGCCGCCTTTAAAGTTGTCGAAACACTCTTCTCGTTTTTGACTTTTGGTGTCTTGAGCTGGCTCAACCCTTTACCCGGGCAAAAGGTTCATTGTAATACTTGCAGACAAAATCAGTGCAGTCTTTTCTGGTGACTCAAAGCTCTTTGATGTTCATATTTCCAGGCCAAGGCCATGCACCAGACGGTCCAGATGGGCGAAACTGATGAGAACGAGTGACCCAACATGACAATTTCTTGGGGAATTGGTCACCACATTTCATCACTGCCTTCCACTTGCAACATAGAAGAAAACCTTGGTCCTTGATATTATTGACTGGCGCACAGGTATTATTCTGCCTCTGTTGGGGAAGAGATGGCAAGCCGCTACAGGGTTGAGGCAAGACTAACAGTAAAGGTATTGCAAGATTTGCCTCCTCAATCGCCAGCATCATTTTGCATGTGCTTCATGCAGTGCCAGTTGCTAGCACTTTTGTACTCATGGGGATTCAAGTTTTCCAGTTGCTTGTTCATTGAATGTGCTTGGCAGGCTGCCATTGGCCGCGGGGTGTTCTCAAGCGTGTACCATTGCAAGGGTTTGAAGGAGAAGTGACTGTGGCGCTCACAAGAGTTGTGGACGATGTCGCCATGCTGTCATGCTATGCCACACGGTGAAGGATAGCAAAGACTATGCCATCAAGCTGATCAGAGCCAATGCCATGATGCGACGCGCTGCAGACAAGGAGGCTGACAGGAAAATGGCAGTTGTCACACATTTTTCAGCGATCGAATCCTGACGACACCACCTGACTGGATCCGAATAGCCAATTCGGCTTTAGTGATGCACTTGACCACAGCCTTTGTGAGCAAGACTCAACCAAGTGTGGCTGAGATTCAAGACGATTGCAAGAATAGACCAACAAATTTATCTTTCAGAAATAGACATTTGAGTCATAACAATATGGAACAGCCTCTTTCAGCGGTCCATTTTAACCCATCCCCCGCCGTAGGTGGAGATGTACAAACGTTTGGAGAAAGCTACAGGTGAAGATCCGGAGGACTGCTTGACTTGCAACCTTCGCCTGCAAAATGCGTAGCTGAAAAATGCCAAAACACACAAGAAGCGCGTCAGTGTGTCATGCATGGATTCAATTAACATGCTGATTTTGGATCTGAGAAATCGTATTTTTAGGATCTGATGCTTTACAGAGACGCCCACGCAACCTTATTTGCATGTGAGGGCTTCAAGCACATCATCATTCTGGCTGATATGCAAACCTTCGAGCACAATGGACACTTGAGTCTATGCCTGAGCAAGAAGGTAGATGGATGGTGACTGTGCACGTCGCAAAGAAAGTGGAATGACGCCAAAGTTCAGCTCTTGCCATTCTGAAGGCTTGGTGTTCGATCTGCTGAAGTGCGATATGCGTTTCGCACTCCAGAAGTGATCCAGCACACTTATGACAAACACAGTACAATATCTTCGATCTCAAGAAGAGGACCCCAAGAAATTGAGAGGATTGGACTCTGGCCCAAGCCAGGTATGGTATGGGTGGAGGTCTCTCTCTGCCTACCTTGCAGCAGTACGTCAGGTCCAGAGCTAAGCTCTTTCAATGGGGGGTCAATCTGGAGGTTTGGATTCGCGACTGCATCAACAGGTTGATAGACCATGATACACATCAGAAGCCTTATCTGACCGTTTTCAAGTTTTTTCAGGTTTTCAAGGGTCAGATGCTGCCGTCAGGCAAGTCTTCCTGGGGCTACGTGCTTTGCGAATTGCGAAGGCAGACCTCTGACCAGTTGGATCATTGAGCTACCCAGCAAATACCAGAAACTGTCAGCAACTTTGACCAGGTGAATCTATCTATATTTAAAGGCTTACGCCTGAAAGCCGGGCGCCGGCCAAGCAACGACTTTTGGCTTGTGGTGTGGGAAGATTGGGCCAAGATTCTCCGCGCAAACCCAGGGAGGGCTATGTTGAACTGAGGCAGGCATAATGCGCAGTGCTTGCCTGTATGGAAGCAGTCTGGGCCTATGTTGAGCGCAGGTTGTGCCCATGTTGGGCCAAGTCGGGCCCATGTTGGGCCAAGTCGGGCCCATGTTGAGCCATCTTGGGCCCGTCTTGGGCTTATGTTGGGCCAAGTCGGGCCGATGTTGAGCCATCGGGCCCAGCTTGGGCCTATATTGGCCCAGGTTGGCCTATGTTGGGCCTATTTTGGCCTATGTTGGACTTATGTTGGGGCCATGTTTGGGCCATCTATGTTGGAACGATCTGAAGATGCAAATCTTTCCGCACCGGGCCCCTTCCTGGAGCCCAAAACCACGTAAAAACCACGGTTTTGTAACATCGCCAAGATGGAGTGCCGAAGGGCCCGAAACACTGTAAAAAACGATGTTTTTGAACATCGCGCGCGCAAAACACCGTAAATTACAGGATGTTGGAACGATCTGAAGATGCAAATCTTTCCGCACCGGGCCCCCTCCTGGAGCCCAAAACCACGTCAAATCCACGGTTTTGTAACATCGCCAAGATGGAGTCCCTTGCCGCCGAAGGGCCCGAAACACTGTCAATGTTTTTGAACATCGCGCGCGCAAAACACCGTAAATTACAGGGACTTCAGTTGACACGCAGTCCGCCCGGAATGAGCCGGGGGTGGGTCGGCGGCAGGGGGCGCAGCGCCTATAACCTTCGGTTACCAACCGAAGGCCTCCGGCAAGGACACGGGCTCCGTGGCCGGCGCCCGGATTATATATATATATATATATATATATATTGTAGAGTGTAGAGCTTCGCACACCGGCGATGCCGGTAGGGGTCGGGGGAGGGAAAGAGAGAGGGGGATGTCATCTGAACTTGCGGACATGACATGCTGAGGGTCGGCGCCTTATCTTGGGGCTATGTTGGCCCATCTTGGGGCTATGTTGGTCCATCTTGAGGCTATGTTGGCCTATGTTGGCCCATCTTGAGGGCTATGTTGGCCCATCTTGGGGCTATGTTGGCCCATCTTGGGGCTATATTGGCCCATCTTGGGGGCTATGTTGGCCGATCTTGGGAGCTATGTTGGCCCATCTTGAGGCTATGTTGGCCCATCTTGAGGCCTATGTTGGCCCATGTTGACTCATCTGCAGACCCAAGCTCTGAGTACCCACCCCGAACCCCGAAAAACGTGAAAACCCCAGCAGGTTGAAGGATTTTAGGGGAGGGTCGGCGGCAGGGGCGCGCCCCCGGGTAGCTAAAGCTATGCTTAGCTTCCACCACAAACGGCGAGGCATCGCCGGATATACATTTAAGGGCTGCCGCCCCTGCCGCCGACCCCGGGCATGTATTTCCATGAACACTTCTAGCTCCAGAATCCAGTGAACCTAATCTATGCTGAATGCTTTTAGATTTCAATTGGCCCTGAATTGCAATGAGAATAATATGTAATCAGCTTGTCCCTGGCTTCCAAGGGTTCAGGACACAGGTGTTTTGTGGACTTCATCTTCCAGGTTGGACTGCCGAATAGGCCGAACAGGCACCATGACCCTGGCTTCCAGGGACCCTGGCTTCCAGGGAACAGGTTACAAACTTGCTTTGGCAAAACACTTCCCGGCAGCAAAACACTATGGCCCTAAAGGAAGCACCGAGTCTAAAATACGCTTCCCGGGGCCGGAACGCTTCTTCTGAAATCTTACACAAATATAATTTTTTCCACCTTTTTAAGAGCTGCTAGCTGAGTGTTAGCTGCTCCCGCTGCTCTTACTCCTGCTGCTGCTGCTGCTGGACTTGCTGCTGCTGCTGCTCTTGCTGCTGCTGCGGCTAAACTTGCTTTGGCGAACGCCTGCGAAACACCTCCCGGCAGCAAAACACCATGGCCCTAAAGGACAAGCCGATTCCAAAATACGCTTCCCGGGGCTGGAACGTCCCTTGTGACATCCTACAAAATATCATTTTGTCCACCTTTTCACCTTTTTAAGAGTTACTGGCTGCTGCTAGCTTGCTGTTAGCTGCTGCCCCTGCTGCTGGTGCTGAATTCACTGCTGCCGCTGCTACTGCCACTGCCGCTGCTCTTGCTGCTGCTGCTGCGGCTAAACTTGCTTTGGCGAACGCCTGCGAAACACTACCCGGCAGCAAAACACCATGGCCCTAAAGGACGAACCGAGTCCAAAATACGCTTTCCGTCACTTCTGAGATTCCTACACAAATGTAAGAGCTCCTGGCTGCTGCTGGACTGGCTGCTGGCTGCTACCCGCTGCCTGCTGGCTGCCTGGTGCCTTCTGTCTGGTGGCTGCTAAACTTGCTTTGGCGAACGCATGCGAAACACCTGGCGGCAGCAAAACACCATGGCCCTAAAGGACGAACCGAGTCCAAAATATGCTTCCCGGGGCCGGAACGCTTCTTCTGAAATCCTACAAAAATATCATTTTGCCCACCTTTTGAAAAGCTGCTGGCTGCTGCTGCTGCTCAACTTGCTCCTGCCGCTGCTCTTACTGCTGCTGCTGCTAAACTTGCTGTGGCGAACGCCTGCGAAACACCTGCCGGCAGCAAAACACCATGGCCCTAAAGGACAAGCCGATTCCAAAATACGCTTCCCGGGGCTGGAACGTCCCTTCTGACATCCTACTTTTAAGAGTTACTGGCTGCTGTTAGCTGGCTGCTAGCTGGCTGTTAGTTACTGCCGCTGCTGACTCGCTGCTGCCGCTGCTGCCGCTGCTACTGCCACTGCCGCTGCTCTTGCTGCTGCTGCGGCTAACCTTACTGCCGCTGCTGCCAAACTTGCTTTGGCGAACGCATGCGAAACACTTGCCGGCAGAAAAACACCATGACCCTGAAGGACGAACCGAGTCCAAAATACGATTCCCGAGGCTGGAACGTCCCTTCTGAAATCGTGCAAAAGTATCATTTTTTCGACCTTTTTAAGAGCTGCTAGCTGGCTGTTAGCTGCTGCAGCTGCTCTTACTGCTATGCTGCTGCTGCACTCGCAGCTGCCGCTGCTACTGCCACTGCCGCTGCTCTCGCTGCTGCTGCTGCTGCTAACCTTGCTTTGGCGACGCATGCGAAACATTTGCCGGCAACAAAACACCATGGCCCTGAAGGACGAACCGAGTCCAAAATACGCTTCCCGAGGCTAGAACGTCCCTTCTGAAATCCTACAAAAATAGCATTTTTGCCACCTTTTGAAAAGCTGCTGGCTGCTGCTAGACTTGCTGCCGCTGCTCTTACTGCTACTGCTGCTTCTGGACTCGCAGCTGCCGCTGCTACTGCCACTGCCGCTGCTCTTGCTGCTGCTGGGGCTAAACTTGCTTTGGCGAACGCCTGCGAAACACGTCCCGGCAGCAAAACACTAAGGCCCTAAAGGACGAACCGAATCCAAAATACGCTTCCCGGGGCCGGAACGTCCCTTCTGAAATCTTACAAAAATATTATTTTTTCCACCTTTTTAAGAGACTGGCTGCTGGCTGCTACCTGCTGCCTGCTGGCTGCCTGCTGCCTGCTGGCTGCCTGCTGCTGGCTTGGTGCCTTCTGACTGGCGGCTGCTAAACTTGCTTTGGCGAACGAATGCGAAACATTTGCCGGCAGCAAAACACCATGGCCCTGAAGGACGAACCGCGTCCAAAATACGCTTCCCAAGGCTGGAACGTGTGGTGCTGGTTGTGCTGGTTGTGCTGGTTGTGCTGGTGCTGGTGCTGGTTACTGCTGCTGCTGCTGCTGATGGCGGTCCTGGTGCTGGTGCTGGTGGTCCTGTTGCCACCAAAAATTGCCCGCGCAACAAGTTTCCCATTGCAGAAAAATGCGCCCCGGCAGCGGGCAGAATGGTAGGCAAACGTGTAATGCATGCCGTGCCCTTGTTGTGCAAGCGACTCTCCGTAAGCGGGCTGCCCGATCTAGTAGTAGGACTAGTAGCAGGAGTAGCAGTAGGAGTAAAGGCAACATCTTTTTCCCTGGCGCCATCCGCCTTGCTGCCGGCCGGGGTCGGCGGATTTACATGGCATAAACATGTAAACCAATTTTAAGGGGTTTGAAGCAGACTTGTTGCAGGTCATGCATGCAGACCTCAAGCCGGACAACATTTTGATGACATTGAACAAGGTGCTACGATGTCTTCGCGTGTTTGATGCAGAAAAGGTGATGGAACCTAATCTTTTTGCCTAGCATGGCCTACTTCATGTTGCCCATTCTTGCTTGTGTGAGGCTGAAATCAAAATTTGCGACTTTGGCAGTGCGATGGATGCATCTGAGCAGGTGAAAACAGCGTGCCCAGTTCCAATTTATTGCGGACGGTTCCTCTATTATATATATATATGTGTATTGGCAATATCTTTTGCACAGCTCTGGGTTTTCCTCGTTTTGGAGTGACAGCGCAAGCAACAGGTACCTACAACCTCGGTACTACCGTGCTCCAGAGATCATGTTGGGAGTTCCCTATGACATGGGCATTGACATGTGGAGCGCAGGCCTGTGTACTCTGTATTCCCTCAGTGTCCTGCTGCTGAATGTTCTGGCAATAGCAACCTCCAGCTTCTCTCGATTCTGGCGTCAATCCAATATTTCGATTTATCATGATGCAACTTCTTGACCTTTGTACTTTCTTTTTCAGGCACCACTGTCTTCGAGTTGTCAACGGGGAAAATCCTTTTCACTGGAAAAACCAACAACCAGATGGTGAGGGACTCAGGAGTTGCGTCTTCAGTGAACTATTCTATTCAGAAGCGTTCCCCAGAGCCTTGCCTACCAAGATGGGCAAGATGATCTCGGTGGTCGGCAAATTCCCTGACAGAATGTGGAAAGTGGGTGAATTTGCCAGGACTCGTTGAGTTTTTTGGGCTGATTTAGGTGTCTAACACGTGTGATTCACAGAACTGAAACAAAAATACAGAGCTGCACCTCCGTGGAAATGTGTTGCAGGAAACACTTCAACGAAAATGGGGACTTCATGAGCCAGGCAGGCTTCTGTCAACCAGTGCGGCGCAGGTTTAACCTGGTGAGACTTCACTACCAACGCCCAATGCAGAGCCTTCCATAATGCATCCAGCTAGATGTGATTGAGATGTCCAACAAGCATCAATTGGAACTTCACCTTAATCAGGATCCGGACTCCATCACTGGATTGCCCGATGTGGTTCAGCTGTGCCTTGGTGAAATACTGGTTTTAAGTTTTAAGTTTTCAGGGTTCCCCAAGCCATGTTTCACTGAGACTCTAGATCTTGCAGCTTGCTTTGCAACATATTTTTCCCTTTAGGGTGAGGCAAAAAGGTGCTGTACGATCTCAAGCTCAAGGAAGGGTCACCATGGCAAGCCAACAGGAAACCTCAAAGCTTCAGGTCCAAACCTACTCGTACAGTGCTGAATCTGCTCCAGGCTGGGGTGTTTCTGGTTGCCCTTACCACGAGTGTCACATGTGCCACGTGTCACGTGGTGTGAGGCAGAGCTGAAGCATCCCAACGCAGGGGTGGAGCGGAAGGACCATGAGAAATGGGTGGTGCAACTTGCTGAGCTTGTCCCAACCTTGAACAATTGCAAGATACTGGACCTACTGGATTTGAATGTATTTGAATGTATTTGAATCATGTTGAATGAAGTCAGCTTCGGATCGGTGAAGTCGGTCTGAATGTTTTGGAGACCTTCTGAAACGCCTCTCCGTGTCTTCGGTTTGCAAGATGTCCATACCGTGAGGTCAGCAAGTGCTGCGTGCTTGATCCAAAAGAAAGGATGAAACCCGCCGAGGCCGGCCCCTTCAGACGATGACATGACTATGACATCAAACAAAACATGAAACAAATTGAAGGGATTGAAAAAGGTCCAACGGTCCAACGAGGACGTTCGTTGTTTTTGGCTGTTGGGGTTCCCATGTCCTGTGACCTTCAGTGCATGGCGTCCGCGATCAAGGCTTTGGAGCTTCCATTTTTCAATGCAAACAGAGACTAAGAGAAGGTCACTTGGTTCTTTGGATGGTCAGATGTGGGGCATTGCGGCATAGGTAGGACTGTATTAGATGGCAGTTGGGTGCGTTGAAAGCCGGAACGACAAATTGGTTTGCCTCTTTTTGAGCGGTTTGAGTTGGATGTTTGACCCAGGTTGTTGATGTGTTCACTCCCATCGACCCGTCCTTGCACAATGGACTTTGTGAGAGCGGTCCCGAAACAGTTTGTGCTGATCTCAGACCAGATGGGAACGGGTAAGTGTTCAGGGCGCAGACATGCAAAAAGGGAGTTCCTCAACTCTCCCTGTGGTAGTATGATAATGTCAATAATAGTAATGGTGTAGTAATAGTTATAGCGTGGTATGAGAAGAGAGCGGGGGTTGCTTAAAGTGCCAGTTTGGCATGCTTTTTTCATAGTCCATCTTGAAAACCTGGCAAGTTGCCCCTTTGAAGAATGTTTGCAGGACAAGGGAGTCTTGCACAGACCTCAATTTTGCTTTGGGCTGCGCCTAGCCAACCAAGCTTCCAAGCAGAAGGGTAAGCCGGGTAAACGGGTAAACCTTGCGTTTCTAACTGTGCCAATGTCAGAATGTTCCTTTTAAAGGCAGCATTTTGCTTGGCTCTCTACGTTGACCGGGTCTGTGTCGACCTGTGTTTTGGTCCAAACTTGGTCCAAACCTCCGCTTCCCACGTTTGCAAAGCTAGGGCTTTGACAATGCCCACCGTCGTGAAGCACAACATCCTTCCATTTCGTGGGCAAAGTTGCTACAGCAGGACAGCGGCTTGAATTTTCTGCAGTGGCGTCTTTGACTTGTCATTTGCAATTGATGCACCTCTGCCTGACAGAGCTCGGGATAAAGTGCCGAGGGCACAATTACCAGATTATCCAGAGAGGTGCGGCAAACAAGACACCAGAAGGTGTTTCGCACTACAGAAAAGTAGGTTGGTTTCCACTCCTCAATGTGTTTTTGTCAAACATTCAACAGACATTATCGGGGAAAAGGATGGAAAAGGTTTGATCTTCAAAAAATCAATGGACACATCTGTAATTTTCATTTTTCTTTCCATGGCCGACCATATTTGACCACAGTCCAGGCGCAAGGCCATGTGGCTCTGCGCCAATGTGACTCGGATGACTCGGTCATCAGGCACTGTGCAAGGCCGAGTGAAAATTCGTGGATTGATAAAAAAAAATGATAAAAAGAAATTAAAAAGAATACGAATTTTAAAATGAAAACCACACTTTCCCTGCATCGGAAGATCCCTTTGTTGGGGCTCTCGATTCAAGATGACAACATATGACAACCATTTGTCCTTGTTTTCCAACAACCTGATAATGTCTCTCCGTTTCGGCAGCAACCAATCACAAGGCAGGGGTCGCAGTCTACAAGGCCGGGCACCATCCCGAGCGCAATATGCCCTGGTGAAAACTTGATTGATCTCCAAGAAGAGATCATTTAAAATCATTTAAATAGTTGGCATAGAAAAAGACACACATTGTATACACATATTGTTCGATCTATTTGGCGCTATCATGTGTTTGACTTATTTGACGCATTTATTTGGAGCTGCTAGCCCTTGTTCCTTCAAGGGCTACCAGTTTCACAATTTTCATGGATTAATCTGTTGAGTCCTCATTCGCCAAAAAGGACTTCAAAGCCATGAACTTGAAAGGCTGTTTGAAGAGCGCATGTTTTCCATGGTTGAAAGATGTTCAAAGTCTGGGGTGGCCCGTCCCATGTAACATCCGTGGAGTCCTGGGATGCATCGAGATTCAGCTTTTACACTTCGATTCAAAGCTTTCCAGCCGCGAAGATCCAAAGCTTTGCACTTCGACCACTCACCCGGAACATGCTGAACGTCGATCGTGGACGGCAGGCCATTGACAAGTGGAAATGGCTGGGCTGGTTGATATGCTGTTTATGGAGCATGTGCCTATTTGGCGCCACAAAAGCAGCAGGAAAAACTCTCAACCCTTGAGTTGGGTTGAAAGACTTCAAACGTTACAAAAGTGTACATGATGTAGATACTTTGTTCTCCCCACTAAGACGGCCACATGGACATTTACTTCAAGTAAATTTACTTCTGCTACTGATAAAGTATTTCACCCCATAATGCTTGGCATTCTGGATTTCTATGTATTTCTTACGATGCTGGTCTCAGTCTCAGCTAAATCTCTGCCCATGTGCTCTCCTGTGAATCCCACCCAATCGGTGACGAGATTCAAAGTTTAAAGGAGTTTAAAGGGGATCAACCTAATGCCTAATTCAAACAAAAAATATCCATCCAGACAAGTCAATATGTTTGGGGGCTGCAAGTGGAAGTGACCTGCCGGGTTTGCTGTTAGCTTTTTGGTGCATTCTTTCGCTGGACGCACCTTGATCCAGGCACAGGTCAAACCTGCTGCATCTGGGACGCTTGCTGCATTGGGCAGTCTGATGGTGCTGCCAATGCAAGAAATGGAGCTAATAGCAGAGCTAATAGCAGACATAAATCGGAGAACAAGCTGCCACATTTTGATGCTAAAGTAACTCAGAAACTCCTTGAGAACTTGATATAATCCGAAGAACTGTTCTTGCATACTTTTGGACCAAAATATTTGATGATATTTGTAAGCACTTCTTTTTCAAACTTGAGATGGCCGAGTTTACATGCTGGGGGGGCCACAGAGGCATGAATGTTCTGGACTTCAACGGCAGAGGCGGTGCAACTTGCCTGTCTTGGGTCTGAACATTTCATTGCACCATGGAGTAAGGTGTGCAGGCCGCATGCCCAGTGCAGAATTTCCGCCCCACCTTAGGGGCACATTTTGACTCCAAAATGCTTCACCTTCAAAGGTCTCGCGGTCACGGCACCGTATTTCGAGATGGAAAAGCTCGGTTTGGACTTGTCCATTGCAACCGTGAACAGCGTCGCTGTTGAGCGAGAGAGGATGTTGCCGGATCGGTTTGCATTTGCGTGCTCCTACTCCGACGAAATTTGTTCCCAGTTCCATCTCAAGGAGAATAGACTTACATAGTGAGTGATAAGAATATTTTCTTGCCTGTGGAAGTTTGTTGAGAAGAAGATCTTACACTTGACGGAAAGAGTCCGACAAAACCTGCAGTACATGCAATGCTGGTACCATACTATCCCATACGAACTGATGCAAATTTCAAGAAATAGACCAGGCAACATTGTCTCCTTCCTAAGATGTTCCCCCCTTCCTGTGGTGTTTAGACAAAGATGCTGACAGCTGAGGTGCTGGGTGGTTGCGGCGCTGCAACTGAATCCCAAGCTACTAGACGTATATTTTCATCTTTGAAATGCAACCAGAAGAGAGCATCAGTGGCGAAGAGGTCAAGACCACATGGTGACAACAGAGATTAAGAGAGGGAAGACAGCAGTCAGCAGACCAGTTTTCCGCAGCAACGTGCATGATACAACAATCAGTAGAAACCTTTCGATGCCACTCAGCATTTCACATTGGAACAAGGCAGAATGAGGAATCCATATGACACATGCTATGTAAATGTAGACGTTTCACTGCAGCAAGGCCAGAGATTTCCCATGGCTGTAAATGATATACACGCCCGAATAGCAGAGGAACCGGATCAAACGGAAATTCGACACAACGGAGTAACTGTTTGCATGGGACAACCGTTTACTATATAATTGGGGGATCCAAATTGTTTTGACTCAGAATCCAGATGATCCGGAACCAGAAACTCTCTCGGAGGTTGCCCCATTTCAGACAAAGGCCCGTCACCCTTGATGCTTGCACACCAGCTGAGCATTGCTTGAGGAGCGACTGGAGTATCTACAGATTGTGTCATTTTTCTTGTGTCTTTGCTCTGCATTGTGCAGTTGTCAATTTCTCGTGATTCTTTCTTTGTTAGCCGCCATAAGCGGCTCATTTTCTGTAGTTGTGGCATGCCAAGGGCTGCCAAAGGACGGTTCTGCTGGCTTCATTTGGCTGATGGCCTCACCATGGCCCTTGCAGCATGAGTGCTTCATTCTTGTCCCAACTTCTTCGCATGGTCACTATTGGAAGATCTTTAAACAATGCATACAATGTGGCTGTGACCCAAAAATCAATTTGATGGCGAAACAGGCCTTCACTCATGAGGTGGGATGCAGATTGGATGCAAATTCTTCAGATCTCTGGCAGGTCACTGTTTGAAGTGGCTGCGCAGTCATGGCTCGTTTGGCGCCAATGGAAGACACTGGGGCCTGGCCACCACTGAAGCCGGGCTCAGCACCTGCTGTGCAAGGCCCGGATGTGAAGGAGATTGCTTATTGACAAAAGATACTTGTATGGGTGAGGCAACTAATTTTGACCCACCATTGTAATATCAGATATAAGATATAATATGATGGGCATGTTTGAACATGTTTGAAACTTGTACCTCCAAGCATCAACCCGAATCGTCTCTTTTTGGGGGATGCCGGACACTGACAGGTGACTCAGAGCGCCCCAAGCAGGAGAATCGCCCACGGGATGGTCAGCCAGGGTGCTCAGTGGACCATTCAGCACCTGGGACACTGAAAACCAAACACGTAGATGGTAGTAGATGGTAGTAGAATTTTGGGGTCCACAATTCTTGAACACACCAGATAAATACCCCCATGAAAGGGGCGGTTGGTGATTGCAGTTGTTGATCATTCTTTCGCTGCTGTTGACGACACTGTCGAGGCAATGGCAAGCTGTGAATGAAGCGAGCCATGACAGCAGGGGCCTTGAGGCATTGTGGCCAGGATTTTCACTCACGTTGTGGTGGTCCAAGTCCCTTGACCTCGTTGTCAGATGTTGTCAGCACGGTAGCTTTTACTCCTACTGAAAGTGAAAATGTTCTAGTGACGTGCTAAGCCCAGGCTTTTCCATGCTTTTCCTGCATATGGCTATTCGGCTATTGCAAGCCGTGCTCGCCAGTATAGCCCTGATTAAACTGGATATCCCCATCCAGCACATCTAGAAGGAAGTCCATAGATTCCCTGCAACGCATCCAAAGTCAAGTGCGCCGCCGCAAGTTCCACAGCACACAAGGATGAAGTCAGCTTGCATTGCCTGTCCCAAACTCTAACGTATGTACTTGGATCAGCTTGTGGAGCGTTTCGCGTGCATTGGGTTTACCCCTTAATCCCAAAATGCTTTTAGGCTTTGCAGAAACTTCCAGGCCTGCGCACTATCCAGAAGTTGTCACACTGCAACCCCTGGCAGTTTGCGCGACTTTGAAGAGAGTTTTTCGAGGTTGTATTGACTTTGAACAATGGGAACTTGGGACAACAATCCAAAATGGGCAGGCCTGTGAGCAATGAATAGAGGAGTCCCTGGTTGTAGCCATCACCGAAATGGGATGATTCAGACAGTTAACGCTGGAACAACATTCAGACTACTTTCTCTGTTCCTATTTGGTATGATCAAGCCAATTTTGACTGATTCTTGACCCAAAAAAATCTCAACGTTTGGTCACTAAGGTGGCCCGTGGACGCACAAAGGAAAGGGCAAAGGAAAGTTCAGGCTGGAGCCCTGCAACACAGGTCCTTTCTTCCCAACGCCTTGAGTTGCTGTAGCTTTGGAGGCCTTAAAATCAAGACCTAAAAAGGACACAAAATGCTGGCTACACTGATTTGTTTTCCCTTAAAACGCTGGATAACCACAAGGAGAAGGCTTAAAGTCTTATCACCCTGAAATTGGATGGCTTGAAACATGGATCGCTGGCCAACTCATCGACCAAACCATTTTTCCCTTGCAATTAGCAGATGTGCCGGTTGCTATGCCTTTGAACCCACAGGAACCAGGACAACTTTTCCTCCAGGCTGCTGCGGGAAGGATGATGGCGGTTGTGGGGCATGGCGTTCTTCCAGTTCTTCCACAACATACTCTTCTCATTGTCATGATGTCATGACCGTTATGATTCTCTCTGAGGGTTTCATCGTTTCTTTTGAGTGATGTCCTGGCACATTTGGACATCTGGCCTGGTCCAGAATGTGGTGTACTTTAGCTTGCAATTTCCTGTCGCCCTCCATCGCACAGCGGCAGATACTGTAGAGATTGTTCGGTGACACCCCTGTGCAATTGATTGGATGCGATCAACGCCAGCTCAGCATGGCTGATTACTGATTAGGCAAATTGCGTTCACCCACCACTCCCCCTCACCCCTTGAAGTGGCGTTCTTTATGGGATGGCAATCTCAGGGAAGTTGCGAACATTTGATGAACTGCTGCATAAGTTTGGGTTTAGTGCAGATTTCATTGGTAGATTGGTAGATACCATGCAGCCAATTACATGAAATTATGCCTTGAGGCGAAGGAAAGGTGAAGGCAAGTGGGCCACACCCTCAGGGTTCTTTGCATAATAAGGCAACAAAATGCAACAAAAAAAGTGAACAGTTCTGGACAGTTCTGAACAGTTCTGGACAGTTCTTGTTGTCCTTGCTCTCTTTGCCAAGTCTTGCCTTAGTTGCCTGAAATAGCTCTGCAGCTTTCTCTCACCTCGATTTCCTGGCTGTTGGCATCAACACAAGGTTCCCCGACACCAGGAAGAGGATGCAGGCCCGAAGATCTTTAGAGTCGATGAGCGGATCAACTTTGCTTTGCTCATCCTTTCTGACGAGAGATATTGTGGAACGCCAATTTCCTGTCCATTCAAGTGGAGCAGTACAGCGTATTGGTTTTCTGACGTTCCAATTTGGAGGTGCGACTGGTACCGAGTCCTGGGAAGGCCAGTGCCGTTCACCCTGGATGCATCAACTTCATCCGGATTTCTGAAAGGAAAAACCTATAGACTCGGACCACTGGTTGTAGATCCAGATAATTGTTTTGTGTCATTTCCATGCTCCATACTGTGAGGATTCTGAAAATCATGACAGATGCTCAGTCACTGCAGGTTCAGGTAGTCGGGCAGTGAGCTTAGAGTGACTATCAGGATTTGCGTCCCACTTTAGGACATTTTAGGACTTCGGTACACTTGAATTGAGTATAATTGAGTTCCAAGCTCCAAGCCAAATGATGGACTTGCGGGCTTTCCTCTCAAGGCAAAAGGAGCTTCCAAAGGTAACAAAGTCCGGATCTGAAAGTCAGCTGGTCAATGTTCATGTCAGGGGATCTGACCGATGGCTGGTGGGCTACATCCCCATTGCTGGTAGACTGCATCCCTGTTGTGGGTAGGTTGTATCCCAATTCTGTTGGCTCCTATTTCGACAACAGTTGGTGAGGTGATTACAGTACGTGGTTTCAAGATGTTTTAAGTGGTTTTAAGCACGTCTTGTACTAGTGTTTGCATCTCCGCCCATCGATTCTGGCAGTTCACCTGCTCAACTGCTTTCCTCTCCAAGGGACTGTCATCCGGAGCTGCTGAGCTTTTGGGTGAATGGTTAGATTCACAGGAGAGTTGCTGGCTGTGCGGCTGGGGCTGACCAGGGTCATGTCATAAAGCTTGGTATCAAAAAGATCCAAAAGGCGCAACAAGTCGAAGGGAGCCTGGAAATTCCAGCTGAGTACTTGAACTTGTGAACTCATTTCAAAACCTATGCATATGGCAGCTGGAGAATTAAAACGAACAAGCTAGCAGCAAATTCAGTCCACCAAAGATATATATATATATATAATCCTTGTTGCAATTTCCTCTACAGAATCGAGGGGGCCAGGGGGCTGGCACCCCAAAAATCTTCGATTCTGGAGAGCCCTCCTGCACCCCTACTTTGTTACAAAATCAAAGACCATGGGCTGGTAAGCACCCAAAAATCATCAATTTTGGACATATTTGGACTATATCTTGGTAGGTCCATGATTCTGTAGACAGGGGCCCCAACAGTCAGCCGGGAGTGCACAAAACATTACTTTTTGGGCATGCAACTGATTTTGTAGAGATAAGGCTTGTGACAACCTAAGGTCTTTGATTTTCTAGTAAAGCCCCCTTAATGTCATATCTTCAGATCTTGATTCTGTAGTGGTTTTGAGATAGTAAGAGGGAATGAATTTGATTCTGTAAAGGATAGTTCCCCTGAAACCCTTTTTGCCCAACATATATGGGTTTTTGATTTTGTAAAGAGAAATCAGATGTAGAATTCAGGTTCTTGATTCTGTAGTAATATCATTTCCATAAGACAATTTTTCTTTGGATCTATCAGGTCTTGATTCTGCAGTGGTGAGAGATGATGAGAGGGAAGAATCTTGATTCTATATGATGCTATATGATTCTATAGTTTTTGGAGTAGGCGAGGGCTTCAAGAAAACATAAGAAAACAAAGCCCATGGGTTGTGAAAGGTTGTGATGTGACCTCAGCATACTCCAGCAATTTCTAGACATTTCTAGCATTTTCTAGATTTTTCTGCAAAATCAAGAACCTTGTCACCAAAATTTGTGCAACTAATTTTGGATTTCTATTTAAAGAAAACATGCTACAAAATCAAAGACCAGTCATTTTGGACACCTTTAACTGACTTGTAAAATCTTGTAAAGGAACTCATGCTACAAAATCAAAGACAGGCCATTTGGGACATCTTGGACTGACTTGTGAAACTTGTAAACAAACTCATGCTGCAAAATCAAAGACAGGCACTTTGGGACTTTGGATGGGACTTGTAACTTGTAAGTGCATTCATGCAACAAAATCAAAGACAGGCACTTTGGGACTTTGGATGGGACTTGTAAAACTTGTAAAAATTCATGAGAATCATCCTGGAGGTTTTTACCCAAAAAAAATCCAACATATGTTTACTTGATACTTTCTCATGTGAGGTTATTGATTTTGTAGAAAAGATGAATTTGCCTTGTCAGTTTTTTTTGTGGAAAGTTCTTGATTTTGTAGAAGCTAACATCCTAGTCTGGAGAGCAGAGATTGATTTAGTAAAGATTTTTTTGGTACCTGACCTAGGGGCCCTCTACTGGATCGAGGGGTCCAGCACCTCCCCCCTAATTGCAAGGGGGATTATATATATATATACGTATATATATATATATCACTGTATATGTATATATAATTAATATAGTGCATTCAAAATTTGTCTTTTCACGTACTGGGAAATGGCCATTCGAGAAAAGCAGCTATTTGAGTGAACACAACATGAGAAATGCCGTGGAGTGCCAGACTGAATTCGATAAATCATGTCTCTGATGGCATGGTAGAATGCCCACTCAGAGAGGATGGCTACTCAGCAGTAATTAGTCGATTTTGTGTGGCGTCTGCATTTTCGCCGCAGGACAATGAAGTTCTTGTCCAGTGGGGTGTGGGACTTGGGTGTCTCACAAAACTTGCGTGCAGGTCACTCGACGTTTGGAACCATTGTTCTTTTTCTCAAAAACCATTCAATTGAGCTTCTTTCGACCTTGCTTTTCTTTGCTTCCTGGAATACAATATTTGGCAGTGGGCTGAACCAACTTCCAAAATTGTGTTGGATGAATCTGTGACTGGGATTGAGTTTTTGTATTTTTATTGGAATGTACGTTAATTGATACTTTTCTTCGTTTTTTTTTGGGAGTGGTCCACCATGGCCAATCCGCAGTTTGTAGTTTGCAAGGCCCACGTGGAGGGCCGCTGACTGCACGACTTTCACGCAGGGGAGGTCGAGCACAGGCCTGTTCCATTTTTTTCCGTTAGCGAGGATAGAATTCCACAAGAACGATGGGCCTGTGTACAACTATGCAAATATAGCATAGTAATGCATAATATACTGTAGCTCGATTACAGAGGTATATGCCGCATGCCGCATGCCGCATGCCGTACACGTAGTATGTTTACGAACCAAGAGTATGTTCTACGTTCATACTGGGCATTGGATTGGATTGCATGGTATGCAGGGCACCTTGTCAACCCAGGACAGCGCCCTCTTAACTTATTGCTTTTCCCCGAGTACTGGAGTGCTGCTGCTGCTGCTGCTGCAGCATGGAATCAGGATAGATGCAGGGGACGGAAAACAGAACAGATCAGGAAAAAAAATCCCTGGGGCATGGGAACAAAATTCCCCGGCGAGATTCGGCACCCTGGTGCTGGTGCTGGTGCTGTTGTTGTTGTTGTTGTTGTTGTTGTTGTTGTTGTTGTTGTGGGTAGTGGAACTTGTTCCCCGGATCGTCATGATCGACCGGCGCAGCCTCTGGGTTCAAGGATGTTCCAGGGGCAAGAAGCTTCGCCGTTGGGAGCTATGGCCACTTTGATAGGCCTTGGTGGCCTGAGTGGATGCCCTCTAGAGGTGGTGAGAACTCTAGAGGGATTAGGATGGAATGTGCAGAGGCTTGGGACTCTGCACGATGCAGGCGATGATGTCATAGGTGTCGTCCTGCAGACAACGGAAGAGAAGCTCGGGAAGGGCGTAGATGTTCAAGTACTCCTGGGGTTAATCGAAGTTTGTCATGCAGCAGCGGAAGTTGCGTGGAAGCTGGAAGGTAAGACCTCAGGAGCCGAGCTGCTGGTGGCGCATGAACAGAAGCGTCTCCAGGAGAAGGTAAATGAATGGCGGAAGTTCGCCCAAGGAAAGCTAGCTGAGAAGGTGCCACTTGCGGGCACAGCCAAGGTCATCAGGTGGCCTACTAAGCTACAGAGACGTCTCAGCGAGGCAGGGGATAACCAAACCCTGCGAGACAGCGCTGAGAAGACCGAAAGAAACCGGTGGATCTTGCAACTGAAGAGGCTTCTACAAGACGGAGGTTGTCCATCGGTCAGGGAGGAAGTGATGGGTTACGAGTTGTCCCGTCGCTATGGCAAGGGGCGTAGGGTGAATACCCTGCGCAAGCATGTGAAGACGTGGCAGAAGGTCTCGGAGTGGACCATGGCTACCTTCCGGCGAGCGTGGCCGATGGAGCCGTCGGAGTTTGCCCGCTACTTGGAGTGCAGGGCCAATGAACCATGTGGACGTACGGTCCCAGATTCGGTGTACCGGACATTGATCTTCATGGAGAACGCAGGTGAGATCCCCCCAGAGGAACAGCTGAATAAGTCGCCGGCGGTGCGCAATGTGTTAGCAGAGGTCAACATGCAGCTGTCCGAAAACTCTGGGGGGGTATTCACGAAGAGGGCCTGGCACTTGCCGGTCAAGGTGATCGCTGAGTTTGAAACAGTGGTCATGGATGAGAAGGCAAGAGAATATGTCAGATGTTATGCATGGTTCAGGTTGGTGAAAACTTGGACCGGGATGAGGTTCTCCGACACGTGTGGCCTGTTGGAGGATACGCTGAGCCTGCAGAGCTTCGGCCTGACCGCCGTGCTGGCGAAGACAAAGACAACAGGGCCGGGCAAGAAGGTTCAGAAACTCAGGATTTGGGTTAACATCCTGTGCTGGTTCCGACACAGGCACTGGCTGGAGGTCGGCTTCGACCTGTGGAAAAGACTGGGCAGGGAGGCAGGTCTTCAGGAGAGAGACTTCGGGCTGCCCTGCCCTACTCGTGATCTTAGCGGGTTCACGAGGAGGATGGCCAACTATGGCATTGCAAGCAAGTGCTCGCAGGCGTTGTTCAACGACCTGAACTGTGAGTACGAAGGGGCGATGGTCCCGATGCTTCCAGTGGGCTCTGGGCTGCTTTGGACGGAGCACTCGGAAAGGGCCACTATCAGGACCTGGGCTGACGCAGTGGGAATCAGTCCAGAATGGGAGGAAAGGATGTCTTCGACGAGGCGGCCGTGTTTTCGGCCCTTGCATCCAGGCTGGAAGAGATGGGGCTCCCACCAGGAGCAGCGGAGGTGCAGATCGACAAGCTGAGGACCTTTGGAAAGGGGCCAACACCCAAACGGGTGAGGCTTACACCAGAGGGTCCTGTGTATGAATCAGAGGACGAGGAAGAAGCCAACGTCATGAGGGCCGACAACAGGGTCTTCCAGAAGATACCAGCCCTGGACGGCGAGAACGAGTCGAATGATGGGCTCGACGATGCAGATGCGGGAGAAGTGGAAGTGAGAGAGGCACCGACTCATGGCACGTACGTGCTGAGCGTGGTAGGTCGGGGACAGACGAAGACGCTCCACCGAATAGGTGAGTGTCACCGCGTCCCTGGGATCCATTACAGTCGGTTTGAGGTGGTGGGAGATAATCCCCCGCCAGCCTCAGAGTTTCACCGAAGTTGTAGGTTGTGCTTCCCTCGCGGCACAGGTGCGGGGGAAGAGTCTTCTGGCGAAGCCGAAGACGGGGAGGTAAGCTCTTCCGACAGCAGCACGTCGGTTGAGGAGTCTTCGGACTGAGGAGTAGAGGTTCCGTCCAAGATGCGATGGGACAAGATCTCAAGACACGCTGACCAGGATGGACCGAAGCAAGTCAGCATGTGCCGCAAAACCGCACAGAGAGAAGGGGGGGCGGAAGAGAGCTAGCGGGACAGCCCGGATTGCATTACGGAAGTTTGAAGGAGGTCTAAAGGTTTAATATGGTTTGGTCAGTTGCCTTAGTGTTTCAGTTGGACTTGGGACTGGACTTTTGGGACTTCGTTTGAGGGTTTGGTTTGAGGCTTTTGAACTTCGTTTGAACTTTGCTTGAATGTCATTTCTGCATGTGGTGATGCGACGGTGTTGCATCATGAATCGTTTGGCAGCACCACGGCTCAAGCTACTGAGGTTAGAGCGCGCTTAGGTGTCTACGCATGGCAGCAGTCCCACCGCCTGACCTGGACACGGCAGAGGGAAGGGCTCAGGCTATAAAGCTCCTGGATCCAGATTTCCAGGGGCTGCTGGAAAGGAAGGGCCTGTCAGACAGGCTGCAAGGCACCCTGTCGAACGCAGGGGTGAGGAGCATCAGCCTGTTTGCAGTCATTGGGGACACGGCTGCAGATGTACGAACCTTCGCAGTGGACCACTGCAATCTCGACAGAGGAAGAGATGTGGTTGCAGTGGCTGGGATGATCGATGCATGGCAGGCCTGCAAGACCAGAATGGTCACGAGGAACCAATCAGAGGCCGACGCCGTAAATGCATCGATGCCCCCTCCGCTGAACAAGGCAGAAGCGCAGGACTTGCGAGTGCGCTTCGAGCAGCTGCACTACAGGCTGGAAGACAAGGTGACGCCTTCCACCGGCACGTTGGAGCAGCTGTTCGAACAGATCGAGACGGGCGAGTGGAAGAGGATGTCCCTGGTGATGTTTCTCAGCAGGGACGATGCAGATTCAGAGCCGATGGCGGCGACTCTGGACAAGAATGGCACGGTACGTGTCAAGAAGGGCTATGGAGAGAGCAAGCCACCAAAGACCGGGGAGGAGCTCCGCCAACGAGTCAAGCTCCTCGGTCACACGTATCTGTTTGCACAACTGAAATTCCCCAACAGGCATGAGTTGAGGAATATAGGTCCCAACTTGTTCAACAAGTACGCTGACTTTCTCCTCGGAGAACATGTCATGGGACTTCAGGCCAAGGATTCCCGTGGCGAGGTTGTAGCAACACCAAGCCTTGAACTGGTGTTGAGTTACGAGTTTCAGGTGAGGAAGTTGATGGTGAAGTACATGAACGATGGCGTCGACATGGTGCGAGCTTTGGAGGAAGCCATGAAGGATTCCACCACCAAAGAACGCTACTTCCTCACACCGGCTGCCCTTGATGCCGCAATGAGCGGAAGGGATCAGGGCAGGAGGTCGAGATCTCCCCGGAGAGACAACTCCCGGGAGGATGGATATTCCAGGGGATCGCAACCCTCTGGAAAAGGAAAAGGAGGAAAAGCACGATCGAAAGGCGGCAAAGGCAAGTCCCTCCATACCAAGACGCCAGATGGGCGTGACATATGCTTCGCATGGAACAACAGGGACCAGCGATGCCGCTACCAGTGCGGAAGGGTGCACTGCTGCCAGATTTGTTTCGGCACGCACCCAGCGCATTCGTGCAAGAAAGGAAAAGGAGCTTCGCAGCCAGACACGGCTGGGGGGAAGAAGGACAAGTGAAGCCACGAGAGCCCAAGGGCGCCCTCCCCCTTGTGTGAAAAGGATGACAACATGAGGAGGGATACAGTTCAGGTGACAGGAGAGTCACCTGAAGTTTTGCAAGAGACTGCAGTTGGCGATGTAAACAGCAGTGCCAGTCCGGCTGGGGCTGGAAATTCGTCGGGTTTCACCCTACAAGTTCTCTACCTCTTTGCCGGGGCGGAGCGTAAGACGTCTGTGGTCGAGTGTCTGCGTCGGTTGACAAAAGATGCGGGCTGGAGACTGGAGGCGCAGGAGATCGACCTCAAAAGAGGGTCAGGTTTTGATCTCACCCAAGAACAGTTGCAATCAAAGGTTTTGGCCGATATTGCAGCTGGATTGTTTCACTGTGTTATTTGCACCCCCCCTTGCAGCACTTGGTCACGTGTCCGAATGGCCAACCTGCGAGGCCCACCGCCTCTGCGCAGCAAGGAGCATCCGTGGGGGTACCCATGGGTGAAGCGGAGGTTTCAACACGACTTGGATCTGGGAAATGAACTAGTCCGGTTCACTATCGAAGTTTGGGAAACTGTGGATAGGTATCCCCAGTCTGTTGATGGTTTACCAGTGTTCTTGTTTGGGGAGCATCCCGAAGATCTAGGTCAAGTAGAAAGGGAAGAAGACGGGATGCAATTGAATCCAGCTAGCATCTGGCAGCTGGAAGAGATACGTAGGTTAGTAGATAAGGAAGGGCCCGTCAAGACAGTGGCCATAAATCAATGTTGTTGGGGCGCACCATGGCGCAAGCCAACAAGGCTGGTCACCACAGCCGCTTCAGTTCAAGAATGGGGGCCAGGCCAGTGGCCCAATATGGATGAGAACAACGTGTATCAAGGGCCGTTGGCACGTACTTGCCAGTGCAAAGTGGAGGTATCACTGGCAAGGAAACAAGGCGACGAGGGGTTCCGCACTTCGGGGACCGACATATACCCACCTCGTCTGGACTTGGGTATTGCAGAAGCAATCATGAAGCATGTTCAAATCTCCTTGGACACTTCCTCCAAGGAGGGGGAAGGGGAAGCACCCAAGGAGGATCACAAGGGAAAAGACCTTGGGGATGCAGAAAAGGAAGACGAAGAGTTGAAGAGTTGAAGGTCCCTGTAAGGAAGGAATACAGGGACAAAGAACAAGAGAGCTCTGTGTCTGCGCAGACAGGGCTTGGGAGAAGCAACAAAGGCCCCATCAAGTGCTATTACAAGGGCAAGCACAGAACTATCCACGATGGAGGAGGGCTGAACTCACCAGGTAGATGGCCGGTGAAGGAAAGAAAGGAAGCAACATCTGAGGAAGGGAGAGCGATTTCCTCGGAATGCAAGAAGTTCTTCTTGGAGTGGATCAAGGGGAACGAAGGAGAAGAGGGAGTGAAAGGATGCTTTTGGAAAATGGCGGCAGGCAAGGCCGAGGTGTCCCCATTTGCAGAAGTCATGACAGGATTCAGAGAAAGGCTGGACGTGACCCTGGAGCGACTGGGGTTCAACCCGAGGAGAAGGTCTGGAGACAGGGAATCGGAGGTGAACTTCAGACGTCTGAAGAGCTTGTTGGAAGCCATGGGTGATGTGGACCACTCATGGCTGGACGAGGTAGCCGCAGAGGGCGTGAGCTTGGGAGTTGATGAAGAGCTCCCTAGGGTACCCGAAGTGTTTGAGGAAAAGGAGAAATGGAACCTTAGTTTCACGGAGGAGGACTTTCGGGATACCCTTGCCGACAACTATAAGTCTGCGGAGGAAAACTCGGTGAACATAGAAAGACAGGTTGCGGAGGAAGTTGACAGAGGCTCAATCATCAAGATAAGTCTGAAGGAAGCCGAGAAGAGGTATGCGGGCAGGTTGGCGATAGCTGCGCTGGGCGCTGTTCCGAAGGAACAAGGGTCGAGCGTGGTTCGAATCGTCCACGACGGTTCTTATTCGGTGGATGTGAACCATCGGATAAAGGTCAGGGATCGCATGAGATTCCCGACGGTGGACGATGCGTCCGGTGTCCTTATGCACCTGGAAGATCAAGCGGAGGAAGAAAGAGGGCTCGTTAGGTTCTCAATGCTGTACGATGTGGCCAGGGCACACAAGCTCCTGCCAGTAAAGGAGAAGGACTGGGGCCTGCAGGCTTTCAGGCTTCCAGGAAAGGAGGAGGAGATGAAGGAAGAAGTCTTCCTTCATACACGAGGCACCTTCGGCATCGCTTCAGCAGCCTATTGGTGGCAGAGGCTGGCCGCCGGCATTGTTCGGCTGGGACACGTGCTGGCAGGAGTGGAACTAGGTATTCTACATCTGCTGTTCGCCGACGATGGGTGGATGGTGGCGACAGGTGGATTCTTTTGGAGGAAGTTACTCTTTTGGTTGTTCATCTTGGATCTGTTGGAAGTCCCTCTCTCATGGAAGAAGGTGAGGGGAGGGGTTGCAAAGTCCAATGGATAGGATATCAGATTGATGTGCAGAAGTTCGAGAAGGGAATCTCGAGCAAAAAGGTTAAGTGGGTCGAAGATTGGATCAGCAGTCATCTGATCTCAGAAGGAGTGCTTGGAAGGGACCTCCGCTCGGCACTTGGGAGGTTCGGGTTTGTGGCAGGCGCTCTGCACCATGTCAGGCCATTCCTTGGCCCACTCTTCGCATGGTCAGCAGTGCTATCTCCGGGAACCTTTGCGAAATTTCCGGAGGCGGTAAGGATTCTACTGGAATATGTGAAGATGCAAATTTCCTTGGAGTCGATGAGCAAACCAAGGAGAGTGAGAGAGAGGTCTCGCGAGGCGTTCAGGGTAGACGCCAAAGCGGAAGGAGAGTGCATAGTGATCGGGGGATGGGAGATCCCTCGATACAAGACTGGGGAGAGAGGGAGATGGTTCTCAATCCGCCTGAACCGACGCAATGCGCCTTGGGCATATATGAAAGGTGAGCCGTTCCGGAACATTGCGTCCCTGGAGCTGACGGCGGTGTTAGTGGCCGTGGTCCTCTTTGGAGACGACCTGGCGGACACGGAAAGCCTAAACACACTGACACTGTCTGCCAGTACGGACAACTTGGGCAACACGTATGTGCTGCAGCACTTTATGTCCTGCAAGTACCCTCTCTCCATAGTTGTCATGGAGCTTGCCATGCAACTCAAGAAGTGCAACCTAGAGCTGGATCTAGGTTGGGTTCCTAGAGATCAGAACACTGAAGCAGACGCACTCACAAACAACGAGTTCTCGGGTTTTCTACCCGAGAAAAGGATCGAAAAGAACTTCGAGGATATCCAGTTTGAAGTCTTGGACAAGTTGATCGAGAAGGCAGGAGAGCTCGACAAGGATATCAAACTGGCAAAATCTTCGAAGGAGATGAAGGGGGATCGGCCGGAGGAGACGCTCCGTAAGAGGAAAAGAGGTCAGACAAGATGGGAGGACCCATGGTGAGGTAAGTAGACAACCCCATCACCTAAAGAGGGGGAGGGTGATGGAGCTGTCCATTACCAAGGAACATGTTGGCTCAAAAGGACCCAACATGAAAAGTGATCTGACATCAAAGTCAGGTCACAAAGAAGGCAGCGTAGCAAAGACCTTTGCGCATCCCAGTCAAAAAGTATGATGTGCATAGCGCTGCGAAAGGGGAGAGAGTGACGGGTAGTGGAACTTGTTCCCCGGATCGTCATGATCGACCGGCGCAGCCTCTGGGTTCAAGGATCCCACCACCAACCCCTTACTCCTCCATTTAATTCTCTCATGACGACATGGGGGAAGGAGGGTGATGGAGCTGTCCATTACCAAGGAACATGTTGGCTCAAAAGGACCCAACATGAAAAGTGATCTGACATCAAAGTCAGGTCACAAAGAAGGCAGCGTAGCAAAGACCTTTGCGCATCCCAGTCAAAAAGTATGATGTGCATAGCGCTGCGAAAGGGGAGAGAGTGACTGTTGTTGTTGTTGTTGTTGTTGTTCTCCTCCTGCCCCTGCTGATTGCAGCGCAGAAATAGCTAGTTGAACCTTGTGCTTGCAACGGAAGCAAAGAACACTTAAGAAACTTAAGAACACAGCGTTCCATGGCCCACCCGGGGCCTTGAAGATGCAGGTGCTCTCTGTGCGACGGGAACCGGACTCGGGCCTTTGGGCCTGTGGAAACGCAGTCAGAGCCTTGGACATGTTGTGGAAAACGACTCCTTGATCCCAAATACCACGAAATTTTGCAGGGTTTGGAGGGAGGTGAATGAAGCTAAGAAGCATGTTGAGTAAGTCCTTCAGCATTCCAGACGTGGTTTTTTTTTTCTTTCCTTTTGGATTGCTGGCCTCATTTGATTTTGACTCTTGCTCTGCGTTGGTTTCCCCCCATTTAACAGCGAAGGTCCTGGACAAGGGAGCTTCATCAGCAAATGTACTTGTTTGGTCTGATCCTCACTGGCATTGTCTAAGACCGATCGTTGCATTTTGTGCGTGCGCAACGGTATTAGTTGGCATGTACGACGTTGGCAAGTCTTCCGAGGGCTGCCTATGACGGCCGCAAATCTGTTTGGAGGAGAAAAGAGGCGGGGACAGAATCCTTGATCTTGGCACAGGAGTCACAAGAGGAAATGCATGCTGTCTGCCCTGTTGATGTATTCGGATGTATTTCATGGCATCCGTTGCTGTCTTGTTTATTTCAACGTCGAGCCAAAAAACTGCAGACAAATAATTAACACGTGAACTCTGATCTCATACAATCAAAAGAGACCCTCGAAGATGTACAGATATGTACAGACTTGTTGGCGCTGATGATAGACATGACTTAAACAGCAAAAGATTCAAAAGCAAGGGTGGGAGATATCGCGACCACAGTCTTGTTTGCTATTATGGGCATTGGTAGTATATGTAGGCCTACCTGTGTGCAACTATTACACAGGTAGTATGCTCTAGTGCCACCTCCAGGTTGGTGTGGAGGCTGATCCCGAGGACTTACTTCCGCCCGGGCATCTCAGCTTCTGCAATGTATCCTTGTGGCCGAGAGTGTCGTTCCTGACCGAGGTGGCTGTTGCGGATGGAAGCCATGCAAGGTGAGGGATCGAAATCCAGCAAACTTCAAACAATTTCAACCTTTGGATGTACCATGATTCGAATGTATTTTCTGCGGTCGATGACATCATGATTCATGATCCCAAACTATGCCAAAAATCTCAAGTCATCCTTCAACCATCCAATTTCGTGGAATTGTGTCAGTACACGGTCCCTTGCCAGGTAGTGCCGATGGAACGGACGCGGAGCAGCCGCAGGCTGGGATGCCCTTTCAAGATCGAGGTTTCTGTTTTTTGAGCCTGTTCTGTTCGCTTGTTTTTCTCGCATCGTAGGTTCCACCACTAAAAGTTAAAGGAGAGGGATTGGACATATAATCCGACTCTCTGGTTGAAACCAGAATTGCCAAGAGGAAGTGTGAACACTTTCTAGAGCTCCTGGAAAAATAGATAAAATACTGGTTTTGTTTTGAAGTTGCTCGGAATTGTTTGTTTTGATGGCTGCATATTGCAAGAGGTTCCGACTAGTGACGAGGGACACTGGCAACGTGACCTGTTGCTGTTTTCGAAGGTGATTCGAAGGTGATACATGATATATGTAAGATATGTAAGTGATGCTGTTTGAAGGCGTCATGGCTAGCGTGGCTGTCTGACCTTGTAGGCCAAAGGTGCCAACGGCAAGGGGACGGAAGGCAGGAAGCGCATGGGGGGGGAGTCTTCCCAAATAGACGTGAGCTGTGGCAATGGTATGTCAGCGGCACCAGCCATCATGCTGTCATGGACCCTTACTTTCCTGCATGGTGGTGTGTCCTTAACATCTTCAAAGAGATGTCACGGCCAAGCCTTCCCAGGTCTTCACAGTCAAATGATGTCAAAAGGATCCGGTGATCATCCAGGCCACTGGACACCGCCAGGTTTCTCTCCACCAGCCAGGAGGCGGCAGCGGAACTGGAGCTGGAGCCTCAAGGGAGCGGGGGGAAGCCGTTTTCCCAGCGGTGGCATGGTATCATTTTCAATTTTCGAATTCATTTTCACATATATATATATACATACAGAGATTATCCGACATTGTCCGACATCGTTCATTTGTGTGAACATACCATTGAAATTTCATAAAGTGTCCAAGTATGTCCAACTTCAAGGTAAGGAAAGTACAAAACGCTTCTGCCCAAGGATGAAACGTTGTGTGTGGCCCACAAGCAAATCTCAAGACTTGATGACTAGATGAGACTAGATGGCATAAAATTGCTTCAATTTCAAAATTCCTTTCTCAGCATCTTGCTGCTTCCATTGGGCTCAGGGATTCCGCGGCATTTTCACACCCGAGGTTCCATCTCCATGGGTAGTGATATTGCGGGCGTGCTCACCTCAGCCAGATGGCAGGTGAGTATAAATAGCGTTTCATTGGGGTACCTTGTAGGGTTGGATTTGGAAACGGTTTTGCAATGCTTTGCATCTTACTCATAGCAGGTTCCCCTTCTTACATCCTTGGCCACACACGGAAGCGCAGACTCAGGTCTTTGTTGGTTCTGCAGAGGATGCTCCAGAAACTTGAACTGCAAGTAGCGTCGTTTTCAAGCAGCAAGTCCATGTTCTGTGTGACACAACACAAGCAACAGACATCAGCACATGAAGAGAATAGGAAAAAAATGTTCAGACATGGTTTCCAGATGTTTCCAGATGTTTCCAAGCAGCCCATCCTCAGGAGCTCTCGGGGACGGAACCAGCCACAGGCACAGTATGGGCGCCCTGGTGCTCAAACGAATCGCATTATACAGCTACTCGTACCTATTGCTATTTTTCAACATCAGATTGCGGATAGCTGCGAACCTTTCATAACCCTTCATAACCTTTCACAACCATTCTGCATTTTCAATGATCTCTAGTCCTTGGTTGCATGCCAGGCGAGATGCAGAAGACTCAGATGTGCTTGACTGGTCAGAGTTCGAAGATATTTGCAGTCTGACCACCGCCACCACCAAAATCGCATTGAAACAGGGTGGCTCATCCAAAGTCTTCCAACGAAGGTTCAACGGCTCAATGCCTGTGAAGCTTAGGCCTGAGCAGAGTCCTCGTGAGGAGCAGGAGGCACGCCGCTACCGTTAACCGGAGAATCTCTTCGAAATGAGCGCATTATGCACATTGACGGCCGATGACGGCCGTCTGCAAGTGCAGTAGGAGAGAGGTTCACCGGTCACCGCAACGTTTTCTCATTGGATGGTGTGTTTTTCCCTTTACGATCCAGCTGCAAGACGCCGTGCCAGGATAGCAGACCGAGCACCATGAGAAGCAAAGTTCCAGTCCTTTTCCTTAGCCTCCAAGTTTGCTTCTCCAACGATGCATTGTGAGGCTCATGGATCATCATCCATACATTCCCTCAATACACCACCGCCTATCTTGCAGCGCTTCAACCGAGGCCTACTTTGATACATACAATGCAGCCGCAGATGCTGCTCGCGTTCTGCACTCAACGTTGGTGGCCAGCGTGGCGAGCTGGTCGTTTCAATTTGTTTCACGGTCTCTCGATGCTAGAGACCACTGAGATTGTGGACTCTGAGGTGTCAGCAATTTTGGACGCGAGGCAAGTGCGCCACCCAGCTGGCAGAAGAATGGCGATCCAAATCGTGGAACGCGAAGAACCTTAAAAAATCCTTGAGATGATTTTGCTGTTCGAAGAAGGAATCCATTGCCATCGACCAATTTGTGTAATTTAATTTGGGTGTCTTTCTGGGTGCTTCCCATCTGTGGTCCCTCTCTGGGGTCAAACCTCCATGCTTTGGGGGAGCCAAGGTCATTGGGGCTGCCAGCAACTACCAGGACCCGGCGTCCTGAACCTTACATCGCAAATCCAGGGATCTATAGAAGTAGAGAAATCAACATGATATATTAATATTACAATTTTTATCAATTTTTGAATGATTTCTATATATTTCTATCATCTGCTGGGCACCAGTGCACCAATGTTCGGACCATTTGGATCGGCAGGAGATCTTGAGCCATTTGTTGCTGGACCATGACCTGCTACGAGAAGATGGCGAGGTGCGCCTTGGGATGCTGCATGCTGCGCACCGACAATGTAGGTATGGCCGGTATGGCAGGGGGAATGGACTGCATGGACGGTATGGCCTACAATTTACACTTCAAAAACCCGGACGGCGTAAGGTCAAACACGCAATTGGAAGTTTGTGGTCACCTACTGTAGTGCCGATGACACCTCAGGTCATTGTACCGATTGTACGGACATGTGTGAATGTTCCTTGTTCTGATGGACCAGCGTTCTAAATGGCTAATGACTCGATTACCACTTCCGCGAATGCAGCAAGCGTGTGAATTTGTAGGATCCGATGGTGCCTTCTCTGAACTCAGCTTTGTGGCAGAGGCGTCGGGAGATGCTTGTGTAGCATTGTGTATTTGTATCATAGTTCTGGAAATCTCCTGAACATCTCAGCTGTCCCACTCATTTGATGACACTGGATTTTCGATATTTTTCAGAAAACACCTTCTGCAAAGCAATAATATAAGCCAACAAACTGAGGAAGAATTCACGATACAGGTGAGGTGGATGGTGCATGTTCATCCATGGTCTCTCTCAACCTTGGGCCACAAGATTCTCCCCCTAAGAGACTCTACGTCCTTGGCAAACCAGATGTTGCAACCCCGTTGCATACACTATGGACACCGATCACCTGATTTTCTACTGCCGCTGACTTGGGTTAAAGCGCATGTCGTTGCAGCTTTCACCCTGATGAAGCCCATGCTTCGAGGCTGCCTGAAATACCGCGGCGCAACGTGCTGCAGCGCAGCTACCTCAGACAACAGCGCTGTGCTTGTTCGGCAGTCACTATGTTTCGTTTTCGGGGGGGTTGTCATGGTCTGATGGTGAAACTGCCATGAAAGGCCAAGAGGTAGTATATATCATTATATATTGAGGACCCCCCATTGCTTGGAATCAAATGGATATGTTGACCGGAACTGGAAGTCATGAACATAATTTCATGTTCTGTTTTAGGAAGGGGACATGCTGCCGGGAAGTTTTTCCCGAAGGTATTTTCGATGGTTGGGTTCTCGTTTAATTAGTTCTCTAAGCGCATGATGAGGGAGCCTCAGAAGCCTTGATCCTGAATGGAATGCCTTTTCGACCAATCTTCCCGGGATAGGCACCAAAATAGTTGGAAACTTGGGCGCCCTCCACATGAGTTTGCCACTTGCGAATCAAGGTCTGACGGCGTTTCATGATGGTAGGCAACAGCGGCACTTCTTGAGACCTGCACAAAATACATGGCCTGTCCTTTGTTTCAAATATTGAGATGCAAGACTCACGTCGAAAGAGTGCCTGGAAAACTGGCAGGTTTGTGCCTGGAAGTTACGTGGCCGAGTTTCCATCAGGAAACTGGAGTGAGGCCGGTCTGGGTAAATGAGAAAATTCTATAAAATTCTATTGGATGGAACAAAATTGTTTGACATTTGAACCCTATTCAGGGCACTTGAAGTCTGACACTTGTCACGCGTCATGTTTGGCGAAATATGAAACCCAGTCTCCACCGACAGCTACAGTAATGATAGGTCTGATAGTTCATATCCTCATATATCCTCATGATCTTGTCCATGCCGTAGTCGGTCAAACATCGGATGACCGCCTTCAGATCTTTGTGGGTCGACATCGCTTTCCAGTGGTACACTGCGACATTCAGGCGTGACAAGTTTTCATATGTCCCCAAGGTTGGCAACTCACCCCAAACATGACAAATCATGGTCCCCACTAAGTGTCACTAGTCATCGCAGTGGGGAAATGAATTGGTACATGGAGTAGTTTCGATACATCAAGGATCCGCCTTGACTTTGCCGGGATAAGATTCTCACCATATTTAGCTGACTCCAGGCATTGCTCAAGCGGTACACTTTGGCAGAGGACCAATGGCATTTGCAAGATCTGGGCACAACTGTCCTTGCCAGCACCCCACTCTTCCGAAAATTTGGTTTCTTGAACCAGGAGTGTCACAGATGATGCAATTTCCTTCAAAATTTGCTGCACTCTTTCGTACTCATCATCGAGCAGCCTTTCAGGACAATGTTGCCTCCCGTGCATCAGCGGGATCCTGTGCTGTTTGCACTGCTGTGTGCGTTGAAAAGGCATGAAGCGTGACACATGGTCAGAAACATGGAATCTCCAAGGCCATGGCAAGGGTGCTGTCTCTTTATCGAGCTCTGGAGTGTAGTTCTTAGTTCTTAGCACTCTTGGACTCTCCAAATTCAGCACTGAACAGAATGTGATGAGACCTCAGACACCACTGGTGCTTTTCAACAGTGGACTATGACCTGTATCCTGGGTGGTTGCAGGAATCCAGTGGTGCCAGCTGGTCAAAGAAGCTCACATCAGCTTTGTGGGATTCCTCAGACATGCAAGAGCTCACACCTTTGGGATGTGGCCAGAAAGCCAGCCATGGTGAAGATGAAAATGACAACAAAGTGCAGCTCTCCTCACGAGGCGCCGCCTCGCCTGCGGCTGATGAAGCTGAGTGCCGCAGCAGTGCTGGTCGGATGTAAAAATCCCCAAATGGAGATCGAACCAACAAAAGAGGAACAACTGACTATGCACAAATGATGGATGAATGGGGGCCGTAATGATTCATACAACATCACATATCTATATCCATATCCATATCTATATCTATATCCATTTTTGGCCCGCTGGAGCCCTTCTGGACAATCCTTTCTGTTTCCGGATGATGGTTAGCACTTCTTCTTTTGGTCATTCAGGTACGAACTGTTTGCTTCGCCATTCAATGCCAAAGTTGACAATGGCAAGTGAAGAGCCTCAGGGGTTCCACGAAGTTCTAATGTCGCCATCCTTGTGCAAATCCTCCAAAACCAATTGAAACCTTCATGGATCTCTCCTCAAATATTCAAGCTCAGAATAATATCTAGTGACATTTAGTATCTCACTGAGAATATTCCCCAACTCGCCGGTTGCCATTAGTGGGTGAACCTGCTGTAGAGATTTGTCCAGCTGATCCACATGAATGACAACAAAAATATCAAAAACCAGAACTGAGGTTTGCATCTCGTTTTCCACACGCAGAAGAGGTCTTTGGATCTGCGGGAGCGTGACCCATGAGGAACGTGAACAGTGAAAGCACGAAGCTTTGGGGTGTACCCGGGTGTACCTTCGGCGTTTCAGATGGCCTTTACGCCTTTACAAAAGGTTGCAGTCGCAGTCCTGTTCTTTTTTTGGCTACTGTACCCGCTGCAGTGGAGGTATCCAAGTGTGCTGGATAAGTGGCCCTCGACAGTTGTTCTGCTCTCAGATGATGTGGAGTTGATGCAGAAATCTTTCACGAATTGGCATTCCCCAAGACACGCCTTTGGGAAAGCCAATTCTGGTACTTGAATCAACTGATTGAAAGAAAGTATGCACAAAGTATGGTTCTGTTTGACACATTTTGACACATTTGTTGAGGTTGTGAGTGTGAATCCTCCTTTCTCTGATGCGTGCCCTCTGCAGAAGTGCGACATGGCCATGTGTTTTCCGTTAACCGGTACCTGACAAGCGCTGGGGCCGCAGGTACTTGGAGGATGTCTTTGGGAAGCAGCTGGACCGGATTGTGTCCAGCTTCAAAAAGGCACAGCTGACAAGAGATTTTCTGGATACGCCGTTGACATTTGGTTCAGACAAATGTCGTTGAAACGGTGCAACCTTCTCTAGTATGTATTGGCATTGTTGCATTATGTCATTATGTTGCATTGTTTTCTTTTGTCTCGTCGTGTTTTCCATTGTACTGAGTTGTTAAGTATTGTGTCGTGGCATGTGATCCTGGCAGCCTGGCAGGTACACATTTTTGCACCCGTTCGGGACGCGTTTAAGCCACAGCTTCCACTGATGCCTTGTCCTGTGGAGGTGTTAAGTCTCAACAGCCCTGAACCACCCTCATGACTCAAAACAGCCACGACTTGATACAGCTTGCACTTGGAAACGGAGAACTTGTATCATCATCATATCAATTTGTATCATCATTTTGTATCAATGGGCTGTCAACCTCTGGAGACATCCCATGATGTCCCTATTCTTTCGAGGCCCTGGCGCCCGCAGCTGCGGCGCTTGGACGGGGCTCGCTTCGTCACTGGCTGAGTTGCTGTGGATGTGTAACTGGATGGATTAGTGACTGATGATGACTGATGATTTTACTAATGTCATTACTAATGTCCTCCTGATTTCCCACATTTTTCCGCTGTACATACAAATATTTGCAGCGTTGACAGCTTCATTTGTTTCCTGAGTGTAGACGATTTGCTGTCATATTGAGGCCCCAAACAAATACAAACGTATGGTCTATTTAATCTATTTCGTGGGACATCTACAAACATTTGAAGTCATAAACCGGGCGTTCTCGTGGCTTGAGACATGGATGACTGTCGCCATTGCAGGTTCAGCACTTCTGGGATGCCACGGCCATGCGGGTAGCGGCCCCGTCATTCCATTTGCACACAGAGAGTTGAAAAATTGCTGAAGTGCACTTAGACAATCTTAGACACTTAGAAAGTTGCTCTGAGGACAGACACTTAGAGCAGCCAGTGTTGTATTGGCAGGCCCTTTCACCCTGAGCGCCACAGATTCTACACAATTTGGACAAGTATTTCTCTCAATCATCGTGAACATGATGTAGTCATTGTCGGGTTTTGTCGACCTGAATCAAGCACCAGCGTTTGGTTCTGGATGTTGTCACAATATGGACTCAGTTTTGGTATTCATGCACCTGTTGATGTGAAATCCTGCTGCAGGGAAATCCTCCCAAGCCTCCTACGGACTGTCATCCACCCTTAACAAATTTCCACTGAACAAATCTTGGCTCTGCCAGGGGAGCCAGCTCGCAGCTGCTGGGTCTTAAGCCCAAACGGCTTGCACCTGTACATACATTGACAATCATTGAGATACATCATGATCCAGTTGATAGCAGCTTGGATTCCATGCTTGAGAGACCTAAACCTAAACCACTATGCGGGGACACCTCAGTGATGGATGGGTTGCACGAGTCGGGCATGAGCAAGCAGCAAATTGTCTGAAGCAACTCATAGTCGAGGGAGACTCTTGTCAGGGTGGTTTCCGATTGTCAGTGAGGGTCTTTGGCTCACAAGCTGAGAAGCTGAAGATGCTTGACAAGAGCGTGATGATGGTTTGCCTCCCCACATCTCCCCACTGTCAGACACTCTTGCAATTTTTCTTTGACAAACGAGAATCACTAGAAGATAAAACCGTGATTTGCCATGGTGCATGTGCCTTCTGCGGATCTCAGCCCAGAAGAGCTAGCAAAGCTCCGCTTTTTGGCAGCGAGGCATTTCAGAAACTTGGGTCCAAGCAGTACAAAGCTTTGCAGCCATGGGCCATGCTTGTCTGTTCAATATATTATCATGGGTATGGGTTCCATCCTGATCTCATTGCCATTGGACGTATACTATTGTACACAATGCATATTGTATACTGTACATTTATCTATACGTACGTGTTCAATATATATATATATAAATAATATTACTATGTATAGATTTACACGTGGTATGCATACTAGACTATGACACAGCACAATGCGCATGGAACATCTGGCCACGTCTGTGGCTTGATGGTTGCTGCACCCAGGATTTGCGCAGCTCCGGTGCAAGGCTCTGACTACGCCGCTGCCGGATGAGCCGGGAGAATCCACACAGAAAGATCTGGTGGATCAGTGCCTGGGATAGGATGTTTACCAACCGTAACTAACCAATGGCTTTTCAATGGGTTTGTGGCCATTTTGTAGCCGGAAATGGATGTAAAATTGTCGGTAACATACGCATACTATACATATGAATTTAGACCGGGTCCAAAATCTGCAACGTTGTTGGGACAAGGAGATTTACACCAAGGGCGATCCCGTATCCACCAATCAGGGTTCACTTTGGGAGATACCAAAAATAATTGATGTATGTAGTGCCCCCCCACCTTTGTGTCACGAAGCCAATGCCCTGAGCCATGGCCATCCAAGGCTCGGCTCCTCCGTTCCAGACCTACTGCTGTGGTTGGTGGCACAGGCAGAACGCTGCCCCGTGCCGGGTGGTTGGCGGCGGCTCAATGATGGTGCACGGGGCCTCAGATTGAGTGACGAGTCTGTCGGCTTCTTGCAGATTGCGTCCCAAACATCTTCCTAAAATCCAAATTCACCTACAGAGTGAGTCCAAGAAACGGTTGAATGATCGATAGCTGGATATGCCCCCATTTGAAAGAACCTGAGGAGTGGCCTTTAAATTTAGAGCTACCAATTCATTTGTGAGCAGCAAGACTTAGGACCTGTACATCGATGAATTCAGCTGCCAACCACCTCGGAGCCTTGCCTTTAAAATGGATGTATGACAAGGTTCGATGGCTGAAGATAGGGGATCAATGCAACGATATTTTTGATGCACAAGTCAAAACCATGAGATACCACAAGGTTTGTGATGACATCCCACACTTTTCCCTGAACATCATATTTCATGATATTCCTATTGATATTTATGATTTATGCAAAGAGGCACCGGGTCTTGCGATTCGATCACCGCAGATGGTCCTTTCCGATCCAACTCAAGCTCCCAGCAATTTCACGGGGCGTCAAGGACGGTGCACCCGATGCTTGGGCACTTTTTGAGACTGGCCACGTGTGTCGTGGCTTTGCCAAAGCACCTTGGCTGCAAACAGGAGGCTTAGTTGTGAAAAGACACATTTTTCAGCATTTCCCAGGGTAAACTGAGGAAACTGAGGAAACTCACCAAGGATCATTTGTTCTTCCTAGTACTCTCCACTCACCTCGTGCTGTATGGAATCAGTCATTGTCTCATGGATGCTGAGTCACTGAGGACATCGCGACAGCAGGTCATCATGGAATTGTCCTGCTTTAGGAAGGAACTGAAGGCAGAATCCTATTCGTTGTGTCAGCAATATGAGAGTCCGCAAGCCTGTGGGCTACAAGAGTGGTATCACAAGCAAAGCGGATGGTTTACTTGTACTGATCCTCTCAAAGCTCATAGATACTTGATGACGGTTGTCAACGAGCTGGAAAGCAAGCTGCTGCCTTCCGTCAAAGACGAATGTCCGCCTTCCAGCTGCCTTCCGACCATCAAAGTGCGTTACGAGATCCCAGAAGCTGTGGAAATCGAAACAAATGAAATGAAAGGTCCTGAAGTCGTGCAACTTCATTCTGATCATCCTGGCTTGGGATGTTCTGTCTTTGACATCTCGCAGTCACGGATCTTGAAGTCGCCAAAAAAGTCTTCCATATCTTCTCCAGAGAGTACCTTAGGGAGTACCTTAGGTGCTGATGGGAGGACGGAATTGGAGTGCCAATACGAGCAGAACTGGAGCTCTTTGGTGTCGCCCAGCAAGATCAGCACTCAGACACCTCAGACTCTGCCCAGCGGCTCGGACAGTGACTCGACGTGTCTTCGCAGTGCCTTGGTGTTGATATGTCATGGCAGCATATGATAGCAACATATAGCAACATATAGCAACATATAGCAACCATTTTTGGCAAGTTTTGGATCTGAACCTCTGGTGACTCTGTTGGTGGCTACGGGTCAATTCATCATCCAGGCAAGCAAAACGCCAATTGGGCCAATGTGGATGGGGCCCGTGCCTGGGTGCCTCGGTTATCTCTGGGCATCTTTGGTCATTGGGCCCTGAGAATGTTTGATCTCAGCAAAGTGGATCTTATTTCAACCCTTCGACATGATGGATGAGGCAGAATAGGCCGAACAAATCCGAACGATCAATGTAGAGGAGTCTCCACCTGTCAAACATGCGCAGGCAAGGACACCTACTGTTTTCCGTGAGATACCAAGGTTGTCTCTGACGAATCCCGGAAAGATTTCAGACCTCCGAGCTCATGGGTTCCTTGGCACAATTTCCACCACTTTAGTCGATCCGGTTGCTGGTTGCTGGCTGCACTGCTAGATGTTTTTTTTTCCCTGGACCCCAACCTTCTTTTCATGGCAATTCTAGGTCCACAACTTGGTTTGACAAAGTGCAAGTTTGTTGCGTTGACTTTTCCCGCTGTTAACATGGCTGCGGTTAGGTTCTCACAGAATTTTTGGGCTTTCATTTTCATTTGCATTTGATAGTTTTGCGACCTGATGCATTGAGAGAATCCATTGTATGCCAAGCATTTGCCTTCATTTTCAGTGAAGAATGGCCTGTTGCTGCTCAGATGGATTGTGTGCCGAAGATAAGAAGATGTTTTTCTTTGGTGGCCATATATTCCCGGTTACAAGTAGATAACCTTTCAAGACCTTGCTCGCTTTGACGATGGCTGACCAATTCGGGTTCCCAGAATCCACAGCACAAGGCGCCACTTGGGGCTGAGTCGGCCGTGAGCTCGCCGAGTTCGGTTTGCTTCTCAGGGGTCAGCGTTGACAGAAATCGTTTTCAGTTTTGAAGCTGTTTGCAGGGTGTGGTACAACAGAGATCAATTGTCCGTTGATGTTGATCGGCCCAACATGTTGCAATGAACAATTGGAGACGTGCGGTCAGTGCCATGGTGACCGACGCTTCTTGCGTCTACAGGCTGACCCTGAGATGACGTTTCGTCACGAGGCCCAAACTCGATGGGCCCTGCAATGTAGGGTAGGAATGGGTAGGATTCTTTCTCTTCAATACTTTTGGGTTGCGACTGGTCTTGCATTGCTGTTTTGCTGAGCTGAGCTGAATTGTTTCAATACAATGTTTTGGTCAAGCATGTTGCGTGATCTGGGTTTCATGATGTTTCATGGGGATGTCACTGCAACCTGTTGCGCAAACAATTGAAAACTGTAATGCCTTTTTGGTACTTTCCACTAGAGCTTGGTCAGCGTTTTCAACAACTGGATGAGATTAGATGTAACATGAGACCGTCAAAGAACTCCATTCTTCCAAACGACCCACCAACTCTGCTTGGAGGTCAGAACGAAGTTGAATTCAAGAGGCGAAGGACTTTGACATGTAGATATAGTATGATATAGTCTCGCTTGACTGTTTGACGACCTGACATGATCTCTTTGTAGCATCCAAGGTTTCGCTAGCGGTAGTTCTGATTTGTTTTGTTGAGATGCCAGAGTGGCAAAAATTCGCTGTCAGCGCTGGATAGGGAATCCTACCAGTGATCCTAGTGGTCCTAGTGGACGGCACTGCAGTCTCTCCGATGTGGGAACAATTTCAAATGCAAAATACATCAAAATACATCAAAATACATCAAAATACATCAACATCTATACATATACATTATATCAAATACATCGATATACATCGAAATACAATACAATACAATCAAAATGGCAATGCCTTAGAAGTGTTTTGCCCAAGGCAGTGGCAGTTTGGGAGAGTTGTGGGACATGAGCCGCCCTGCAGACAATGCAGACAACTCGCCGTTCCACTCCTTTTTGGAGTGGAAGGTAAGATCTGTTGCACGTGAGAAAAGCACAGACATGGAAGGTGGATGAAGGTGGGAGGTTCCAGTCTGCTGGACCCCTGGAGAGCATAGAAAGTTGTTTTGGCTTCGAATATTCCAAGCCACCTACTGTGTAGCTATTCCATGCTGGGGATTGTTTGTGACACTGAACAAATGAGCCTGAAGATCTGGGTTGCGCATGAAACAGGACAAACAGGACAAACAGGACAAGTGTGGTAGCGACATTGTAGGGTTTTTCTTGCCACTCGATGCTGTTCGTTGCTTCAAGCTGGAGCTATCAGAGCTCAGTGCCAAGCACCCAAAGCCGACCTGAGCCAACCCAGTGGGACCCAACCTGCCAACTCCGCAAACTGCCAACCCCAGCCCGGAACAGCCTGCCCTACCCACGTCAAAACATGTCGATACATGTCCTAAACATTCCTAAACTACACCAGGTGGACCAGTTGATGTTGAAAGTTACTGGAAACTTGGAGGTTTTCCCAATTTTTCCCATGGTTTACCCAAAGTTTCGAGATGTTTCGAGATGTTTCAACGGCTGAAATCTCCAACAATGCGTGGTGTCCGGGGCCATGGCCTGGCACCTTTTTAACCTGCCGTAGCGATAACCTCAGTGCTCAACAGCGGGGTCAGCGGAGTCATCGCCGCATCGCACGTTGGAGAAGTGGAACCCATCAGGAAATGAACATTCTGTAAATTCATGTAAATTCATGTAAATTCAGTGAATTCATAACCTGGGCCCTATACTGATCAGCTATCAACTTCTTTGAGGAGCACCTGATGACGCGAAGTGCCCTTCTGGGATTTTTTGGCCCGGAAGCTCACAAAGTTGCATTGGGGAGGTACTGGATTTTTGCAATCCCCAGTAGCAGGCACTGAGATTCTACAGTACCAATTGCCACCGGCAAAATTAGTTCTTCTTTAATGCTGTTTCTAGACGTTCTTAGATGTTGTTAAGTACATTTTTTTGTATCAGATCATGCATTCTGAATTCTGGGGGTTTTGATCGTTTTGACCCATCCCCAGTCAAATCTATTAGATTAATGGATTTGATGATTTTGGGCTGCTGACTGCAGGCCCCAGAAGAAAGCCAGCAAAACCAGTGCCTGAAGGCGAGCAACTGCACCAGCTGAATGGTTCGAATGGTCTTCAAGACCATCTGGGATCCATAAGATTCCAAGTTCTATAATTATTAATCCGGTCATCCGTAATTACTTAAGATTCATTCAGTCATCTAGATACACAATTGCTGAACAGGATCTAGGTGTTAGTAACCTGTGGGGACCCATACTGGAGGTAAACTGTGAACTTCTACTTTCCAGTAGAGTGGCTGCCTAGGAGCAGATGAAGGACGAGAACATGGTCATGACCTTAGGAGTGGGATATCACGGCCCACTTGAAGGTGGCCATGACCTGCTAAGACCGTCCCTGCAGTGTGAGGTTCCCAGAGCGTGGTGAAGGAGCCTCCCCAGCCTCGCAACTCGAATCAGGTTGGTCCAACAGCTGCAAAGGAAACTTAGCGATAAGATGCGATAAGTTCATAAGTGATCACGATTCACCATAAGTCACCATAATTCACCTGGTGCCAGGAATCTGTGCGCTCGGTGCAAGTCAGCTCCAAGTTGGGCTTTTTCCGCAAGCAGCCCAGTGATACAGCAAGCAGCCATAGGATTTCAACTTCACGGTGTCAAGAAGTCATAGATGTACCTGTAACATCTTGTCACTAACATTTAAATGATATTCAATGAAATTTCAATGATTTTTATCTGATATATCATATCGTTTCATGTTTACCTCGCTTTTTCACTCCCCTTTGTAAGGTCATGGGCAGAACAAAGCTGCCAGAGGCTCCCGGGGTCCATCCACCTGCCAACGAAGAAAGGTGTGGATGGGTTGAAGCACATCGAACCGTCCTTGCTGAAGCTTTTGGGCTCAGTCAAGCTCATGTGAGTAGGCAATCCGTTTTCGCGAAGCTCGGAAGATTTCATGGAAGATGTGGAAAGCCAAACTTCGCAAGATATTGCTACTCCTCAGTCTTACTTATTGCGGCTACTATGGCCACTGTAGTTGTTATGGCTGCAGAACATTTTGCGGTTCAACACTCACCCCAAGAAGTGTCCAGAAGCGTGCCAACTTGGGAAGCTCAGCAGAAGCAGCATCGTTTCTTCCATCCATCGAAGTGCTTGAGGATTTGGGTTTCTATGCCTGGCAACCGCCCAGTCGCCCAACGAAAGGCATGGGGCAAGTCACAGCTGATGACATCAGAGATGGCCTTGAAACTGATGATCAAGTAAATCAGCTCGCTCTGAAGGACGTGAAGTTGCCTGTGAGTTTCCGGGAGCTAAGACCTCAACGGACCTCTGCTGGCAGCTTTCCCTTCCATGGTGGTATGATGGCATGTCTCCATGTGGCCGCGAAGAGAGTGGATCTTCAAGACATCGACTTCCTCATTGGTGGCAGCATCTTGGCATTCCTCTGCGAAAAAGGAAAGAAAAATGCCATGTATTTGGCGCAGAAGTGCCCTGGCACAAACATTGTGGTCATGAGCAAACACAAGACCTACGAGCAGAATTTTGGCCAGAGGGGATTTCAATTTGAACGCCTTGTAACCGGACAGGAAATGTATGGCTTGCATGACCTGACGACGCATGAACACCTTCAGCTTCTGCGCATCGGCAAATTCCGAGTTCTGGTCACAGCAGAAGTGGATGCTGTGGATGATCAGGGAAGGCCTGTGGAAATAAAAAGTGGTGACCCACGGTTTTTTGGCATCAAAGAAATGCTTCAGATGATCTCAAGTGGATCCCAACTGCTGATTCATCCATATACCAAGCAACTTGAAGTGATGGAGATTCTCCGCAAACCCATTGAAGACTTGGCGCATCAAGCAGGTTCAGAAGAGCTGCAGAAGATGGATGGTTGAATTGTTGCTGCATTTCAGCAATTGGATGCATCAAAGCAGTCCATGACCGACGAGCCATACCGCATCATCCTTTCCAATGGTCACCTGCAGTTGGCGTCACAGGGGGAAACCTTACTCCCCCTGCCCCAGGTGATTGAGGAACTACTGGAGGATGACGAGGATGACGAGACTTGAGCAGAAAGATTGTGGCCCATTGTCCAATTTCACTCAGTTGGGCTAGTTTCAAAAAGGGAAATAGTTTTGCCGCGCTCATGTGATGCCACCTCCAAGTTTTGAATACCTCTTTCACAGTGACTAAAGTTGCTGTTCCTTTGTACACCCTTGTACCGGTAATTGATCTCAACAGCTCAAGTTTTGAGATGTTTGGAGAACAGGATTTGTCAAATTTGATCCATTAGAGTAACTTTGTTGAAATCCAGTGGAATTCCTCTTGCTTTGCCTACGAACTGACCTCGGCAGGCCCATGGAGCTATTCCGGTGACGACAGTTTCGAGCAGGCTGGGCGATGCCAGCAATATCGAGCCATCATCTAGTTCTATTTTTGGAACCATTCAGCCAACCCCAAAAGTATTGATCGCTTCAAGAATTTCTTTTTGTCAGGCCCCTAAGAGCTGGCTGGAAGGAGACCTGGAGGCATGGTGTGTTTTTGCTGTACCAGACTGTGCCCATCTGTGCCCCTTTTTTCTCATTTTTTTGGGGCATCAAATTGGGTCAGATTTTCTGTCATGAGTCAATACTACTTGATCCTGTCCCGAGGGTGAAGAAACAACTGCACTGAGTCAGACCATGGAAGAGGCAGCGAGGGTTCGTAAAATGTTTGGCCTGTCTGGCCGTTTGGCGAGTTTGTTGATTTTACGTTGCATGTTTTTAATGGTTGAGTCAGGTTGAGTATTTTGATGGCTGATCACAGCTTGACTTCTTCGGCCGCGGACAGGGTGAAGATGCAGCCTCCTCTAGCCAGCTGCTTGAGGAGGCACACTAGAAGCATATGGTGGGCAGGGCACGATTGTTGGGGTACCACATTCTTTTTGACAAACAAAACACAGCGGTAGGATCACCCACTTCGGACCTCACAAGGCCGTTTGGCTTTCATCCTCAACTGTCCCAAATTCTTTGAAAGAACATGTGCTAGGTCAAAAGACATAGATACACAATGATACACAGATATAGCAGTCTTTTTGCTTGCGCTGGTAGGATTCCAGCTTTCCATCACGTGGCCTTTGTCCGCACATCGTGTACTGACCAATTGCCTTTTGGCTCAAACTGTTTCCACACTTGTTTGCGGCTTCCATGTAGGCTGATGACGCTCCAACGTGGCACGACAAGGAGGTTTGATGCGCACGGATATGTGAAATTTGGTTTGCTTTTCGCTTGGCAAAATTGTGTAAGGCGCAGTAAGGAGCAAGGTCTTTTTGCCTTCTGTGATGTTCAGCCAGGATCGCGGCGAACATGGGGCGGAGGATGGCTTTTGGGCTGGAGACTCAGCTGACAACTTGCCTGCTGTCGAAGCCCTGATCGTTTTCCAACCCTTGACTCAGTACAACATGAAGTGGGCAGGCTTCTCCTGTAGAGAACAAAACATCATATTTGTATATATTTGTCACCTGGAGCGGAGCTCCACATTCACATATGCCATATATGCACAGTGCTTGGCAGGGTGACAGCGTTACCTTTTGGAGTAAAGAGGATGCCCGGAAGGCCTTTGTCTCAACTGCTGGAAATGCCACTTAATTGGGTCGAAATCAATTGCAAAAGACTGTCGGTTCACAGGATGAAGGGCAACATCTACAAGGGACAACATTAGCATCGACTTGGGATCCAAAATACTTGCAGACTTGCAGGTTGCTTTAGTATGCTTTAGTATGTTTTAGTAAGCATATGTACTTGGCAACACCCGCAGCCAGGGCAAGACCACTTCGAAGGGCTTTGCCCTGTCCCGACCGGATCCAGCTGAGGCGGCTGATGGCTTGCTTTAAAATCCTACGACCGAAATCGAGCAAATAGATAAAGAGCTTGGGTCATGTGCAGAACGTTTTGGTTCTAGAGTTTATCGAGTTTTCTTCGTCTTTTGAATCCTAATCACACACGTCCAATCATCTCCAAAGATCAGAACCGGAAACGCCATTTTTTTAAACATGTGAAGGCCGGAGGAAACAAACATGTCTAGACAAAAGACATCATCGTTCTGCAGGCTGGAAAAGGTCCAATGCCTTGGCCCCAGATGTGGTGCTTAGAGTGGCACGTCTTCCAGCTGGGCGATCTGCAAAGATATGGATGTTTTAGCAGAGTCGTTGATACCCAGTCGTAGCCGTTGACATTACAATTTGACAACGTTTTGGGATATATAAAATGCAATTAAATTAATGGGTCTTGCTCATGTCATACAGCAAGTGCTAGGTGGCTATGTGGGGTTTGTTGGTGTGTTTGTTGTACACCATCATGGAATCACATGGGAATGGGTCAAAACTCAATACCTATAAAATAACTATTATACCACAGAGATCAGCAGAGATCCATAGAGTATTTGTGGGAGTGAACATTTTTTTGACATCAATAAGACCCAGCGACTTTGAGGCTTGATCCATACACAACTCATCGGTTCAAGGGGGCTTGGGCATCCCAGGCGTGGCCCCCGTGCCAAGTCTGCAGGGCGTGCAGCCATGCGCGACGATGGTGCGCAACGGGGGAGATCTGGGCGTTGCTTAAACTTGTGCAGTTTTCGTGAGTTTTCCAACTTGGGGATCCCGGGGGGCCGAGGACATGCTGATGGGTTGTTTATAGTTGTTTGCTGTGCAGGTTTGATGATGTGTTGAGACAGAAACAACCTCTAAATTGCTTCAGCTTTGGATGGGTCCCAAGAGGTCGTGCACGAAAGCTTGCTAGCTGGAGTTGGATTTGCTTTATCAATGAATTGGGGGCAGACTGGATGCAGCTTCCATGATCTTTCATGTCGAACTGGTTTTGGAAGCTTGTCAGCCCAAAGACGCTAGTCCTGGACCCTTTGCTTTCTTGTCCTTTCCTTACCTTGCCTGTGCCAAGTAAAGGAAAGGAAAGGCACCAGGACTAGAAAAAAAAACCTTGCCAGCTCAAGGCCATCTTTCTTGGAACTACTGTAACACGCCTTTCTGGTCTTTGTTCCTTTCCTTTCCTTTCCTTCCTTTCCTTTCCTCATCATCCTAGATAAAAAAGAGAATAGCAATAAGAAGGTGATGATAAAAAGAGGATCATATAGATTATAGATATATCGAATTGCAGCTAGGCAGATAGATATACATTTAAATATGAATGAATTAAATAATTATAAATGTATTTTTACATATATATATATATTATATATAAATACCATACACATAGATATACGTGTATGTGTATATATATATATATACATTTAGGAAAGGAAGGAATAAAGGCCGAGGGAAAGAGGTTCAATCAGATGGTTGCAAAGTGGTTCAACCAAAGCGCGTTCGGTTGGGGGCACTTTGTTTTTGGCAAGTAGAGTACTAGGAGGGTAATGTTGACGCTGGCATGCTAGGATGATGTCAGGGGGAAGGTTGTGGAATGATTAGGTGCATGCGAGCTAGTAGCAGCTAGGATATCATGACACGCTACTCTTTAGCGTGTCGGCAACATCGAATTGTAGCTTATTTCAGCCCAAAAATGACATTCAAACACGCAACATCTTCTCTTAATCAATTGACTCAATACACATCTCTCCTTAGGTTTTCGTTCCCTTCCCTTTGGCCTCAAGTAAGTTTTTGATTCCCATCATCTTTCCAAACGATGTTTGTCCAGGATATGACCGGGATGCTGTGAAGCTGCGATGAGCTCAATCGAGTTATTAGCATTGTGTCAGTATGCCCCCAACCCACTTGAGTATCCAGAGGAGATCATTTTCAATGATTCTAGATATTTTAGGTCGCCATCATTGGGATGGGCCAGGAGCGTCCAAGAGCATCCAAGAGCATGACAATGAATTTATCCCAGGCGAACACCCATCGAAGTGACCCTCACCAAAGGTGCACAGCAGGGGGGTTGGCGTATTGCACCGGAAAAATATGCTACTGAAGTGCAACTGTGGTCAAGTCATAGTGTTTTTTTTCAATTACATAAACCCGCCAAGACTGTTTTGGGATGCCCAGTGGCTGACCCCTTTTCATTCTCTTTCACTCTGACATCATTTTCCTTAGGGTTTACCTTCTGGCCAGGGAAAGTCGGTGGAAAAGCTTATGGAAGAGGACCCAATCCGGAGATGTGTGCCTTGTAAGACTGAGATGATATATTTTTTAAAGGGCATTAAATATTTTTGGGTCACCTGTCAACAAGAGCAATAACACCGGTCAACAAAGATTAAGAGGTATGGCTCAAAACAGTGAAGATGGTCCTGTGCGCATTGTCAGCCGCTGCCCATCCGGTTGAAACGTGTCTGAATTGCAGGCCATGCAGGTGGCATCAAAGGGTCCGGCTTCGGCCTTGCAGTGATTTTGTCCCGGATCAGACTTCAATTTGTATTGTGTCAAGTTGGACAATTTTTATCCGGAATGTGCAACTAATCGTGGAGACAACCCAATGCACTCATTTTGGAGTTTTTGAAACTAAGAGGATGAGCATTTTCTTTCATGGTTTTGACCGCAGTTCAGATGGTTTCTGAGGCCTATGGACTCCTGGCGATGAACCGAAGCCCAAGGTTGGTACTGTGATGTGCATATGGCGAACACTGCCCCAAGAATTCACTACAGACCAGGTCATGCATTTGGAGGGGACGTGTGCTGGAGGGGCTGGTCCCTGTTTGTAATCTGATTAATCCTCGAGATCCTCAGAGCTGCTTCTTGGTCCAGAATCGCAGGCGAATGCTCGCTGGGAACGAGCTGCACGAGTGGAATCTGGAGGCTACGGAAGAAATGGCGTGGTCATTTCTTGGGTTCTCATGAAACGGTCTCGGTATGCTTGGACACATGGGAGCCTTAAGCTTTCAATTGCTGGCTCGGGATTTGTGCATGTATCATTGTATCATTCAACCAAAAGCAGCTGAGCCCACAAACCAGAAACTTGTACAGGCTCTGCTCCTTCCAGACCCAGATCGAAATGGTACGGAGCCTGGCAAACTGTCGGAGGTCGTCTTAGATCAAGTGAGATTGAGGCATGTCATTCCAGAAAAGATTGCAGCACTTGCAATGCATCAGTATTCTGATGAAAAAACATTGGCCTCCAGTCACTGTCCAACTGAAGTGCAGCAGCTTAAATTTTTGAAGTTTTTCACAGGCAGTTGCAGGTAGGGTCGAGCCTAAGGCGCCCGCTCAGCAGCTTCACAGAGGGTGACCTTGTGCAGGGGAGGGTGACTTGGACTGCAAGCCCGAGCTTTGCAAGCAATGGCCATTCCATGAACTCCGAATCTCTATTTGACAGTTTCAACTAGTTTCAGTACTGTTTCAACTTTTCTTTGGGTAGTTTATAGGACTGTATGTCCCTCTCCTTTGAAACTGTCTCGGGTCAATCTTTTCATCCTTACAAAGTCTTTCGCATCGTTTTGGTACATTTTGGTACCAGTTTTTTTTTTTTTAAATCTTCCCCAGTTTGATGAGGTTTGCGAGTTTCCCCGTTTCACATTTACTGACTCGAGGTGACCGACTTTGTTGAGGTGGGGAGCTCAGTAGAACTGTGTGATGCAGGTATGATGAGGTATGCCCCAATTATGGGCTGGATTTCTGAACTGGTTTCCCACAAGCCACTTGGGTGGATTTTGGAAATTTCCGAATTTCCTTCCAAATCAAGCACAGGACGGCCAATCCCATTTCCAGATTTCTGCTTCTGGGCCCTTCCGCGGACTCTGCAGGAAGGGGCGATGATCGACTTTGGCTGCTTGGTTCAGGCGCCAATCTTGCCAGCACATTTGCTTATCATGTCATTATGCTTCAGAAATCTTCCGACGGTGGCAATGCCAGAAAGTCACTGCATCAAAATTGGCTCTCCATCCATTAAGGATTCAAAGTGTTTCATTCATTTCATCCCAGACTTCCACGTTTTGGTTGGACCCATGTGACCGTCGTTGGGATTTGGCCCAGCTGAATGGCAGGGCTTGCTGCCCACGTCGCAGATCGTCCTGCTGGCCTCGCTTGAATCAACTTTCTGGTGAAGTCAGTGAGGTTGAAGATTTTCCTTTGAAACATCTTGAAAGATCTTGAAAGATCTTGAAAGATCTTGAAAGGTCTTGAAAGATCTTTCAAGATCTTGAAAGATCGTGAAATATCTTGAAAGGTCTTGAACAATCTTGAAAAACCTTGAACGATCTTGAAAGATCTTGAAGCATCTTGAAGCATCTTGAAGCATCTTGAAGCATCTTGCAGCATCTTGAAGCATCTTGAAGCATCTTGAAGCATCTTGCAGCATCTTGAAGCATCTTGAAGCATCTTGAAGCATCTTGAAGCATCTTGAAGCATCTTGAAGCATCTTGCAGCATCTTGAAGCATCTTGAAGCATCTTGCAGCATCTTGAAGCATCTTGAAGCATCTTGAAGCATCTTGAAGCATCTTGAAGCATCTTGAAGCATCTTGAAGCATCTTGAAGCATCTTGAAGCATCTTGAAGCATCTTGAAACATCTTGAAACATCTTGAAACATCTTGAAGCATCTTGAAACATCTTGAAGCATCTTGAAGCATCTTGAAACATCTTGAAACATCTTGAAGCATCTTGAAACATCTTGAAACTTGGAACCTCTTGAAACCGCCTAAGCCCAACAGTTTCTCAACTTAACTGAGAGGGTCCAAAAGATTTTGGGGCTATCCAAACTCTTGGACCAACCAATTCGGAAATACCCGGTTCTGCCAATTCCAGATTCCATGAAGAAAATACATTTCTTATTGGTTGCAACAATTCAAGGAGAGGCCTGTTTTTGGTTTGTGTTGGTCGCTTTGTAGTGTTTGTTGATCCCAATGCTCTGTCAGCAGCCAGGACTTCCCGGCCTTCCCTGGAGACCTGTTGGTGTCATTGGCTCTGGATTCCATCGATACAAAGGTGGGGATGGGTCGTGCTGTTGACAGATGCCCATTTGGATGAAACAACACGCAACATTCACCGCGTGGACGGTGGCAAATGTTGAGCTTTGACACATCAGAAGCGCTCGGCAAAGCGCTTCTATATTCTATATGTTTGTTGTTTTCCTTTTTCTTTGGTGCAGCACGTGCAGCCAAGTGACAGGAAGAAAGAGTGACTCTACGGCTCCACGATGATGGATGGGAGGCCACTTGCCGCACAGTGGGATAAACATCTCCATGATCTGTTGAGAATTGTTGAGGCTGAATGTCCACTGCGCTTTCCGAAAGCAGAGTTTGTCAAAGGTTTGTGCCTCATATCCTAGGATCGTTTTGCGCCAACAGGCTGAACTTCAGGCCCACGCAGAGCCTGGTCATGGCACCCAAACATGCTGCCCTTGGATTATACGACACACAGACAAGGTCAAAATAAAACAGTGCAGTTGAAGAGAGGCATTGTATCAAGGTTTGCATTTTCACCAACTTAGAGTAGAAGAGATGGTGTGAAAGACACCATTCTTTGTTAAATGTTCTTGAACATTTGAGTGTTCTTCTAATTTTTTTTATGGTCGTAGGAACCTTTCAACATGCGACTTGTTGACTTGCTGGAGTGGAACGCTTCACTTTACAACTTTGGATATGCGGAAGGATTCACACCCACACCTCTTGGCATCAGTTGTAACTGTAGACAGTTGCAATAGTTGATAAAATTACTATAAATTACTTACAATTCATTGATACAGCCTGAAAGCTGCGTCCTTTGCGGCAAGCTCCATACAGAAAAAACCACGTCCAAAGATTCTGACTTCCGGTGACCGGTTGGCCTCGGACATTGGCCGAGGCTCAGAGAACCAGCCCTCGCCCAGAAAGACTGAGAAAGGTCGAGCCGGGAAGCTGGGCAGCTGGGCAGCTGAATCTTCCTGTCTTTTAAAGGAAAAGAATGTGAACAGTATACTGAATGAACATGAGCAAACCTCGTTATTTATATTTATTTATACAGTATCATACAATCATATAAATATAATACATTGCATGTTCTTTTCGCACCGTTGTCAATTGTCATTTTAATCGTCGTTGGTGTGTGCTGGCTCTCATAGGTAGACAGAGAAGGGCTCAGCGGACAGTTGGGAGCCTATCTCTGTGTCTCAGGGATCGATGGAAAGGACAGCAGGTCCACAATGGCGAAATCACTGCAGATGCCTGAAACGCTATGAACAATAGGAATTCGCAACAACTCTTCAACTATTCCATTCACACATTCGTTTCTTGACCAATCGGATGCTGTGATTTGCTTTGTTGCTAAGGCTAGCGTGCCCCCAAGCCTTGACAGAGCACCAAGGCAGGGTCAAACTTTTTTCCTTCAGCAATGTTTGCGTTTTTTTCCTCAATTTGTGAGTCAATAGCTGGGTTAATCAATTTTTACTTTTGGGGCTGAAGGCGATATGTTTGTCATCTATGTCATGTGAACAGAACATGAATTTGGCTGGATGGGCGATGGGTGATGGGTGTTTTGTTCATTCTCCACGGGAGGCGTTGGATCTGGGTTTGTATCCTGCTTTGGATTGCCAGGGAAGATGCCATGGAAGATGCCATGGAAGATGCCAAGGAAGATGTCAAGGAAGTTGTCAGGGAGGATCCAAAGCCTGATGAGGTCCCTAGGCGGGGCCATGGTTGTGCTGAAATGGAGGACTTGAGACTGTTCAACACATGACACACACACACACGCATGTATATATAAATAAATGAATGAATGAATGAAACGAAATGAAATGACATGAAATGAAATGAAATGAATGAATGAATGAATGAATGAAATGAATGAATGAAATGAATGAATGAAATGAATGAATGAATGAATGAATGAATGAAATGAATGAAATGAATGAATGAAATGAAATGAAATGAATGAATGAAATGAATGAATGAATGAATGAATGAATGAATGAAATGAATGAATGAAATGAATGAATGAAATGAATGAATGAATGAATGAAATGAATGAATGAAATGAATGAATGAAATGAATGAATGAAATGAAATGAAATGAATGAATGAAATGAATGAATGAATGAAATGAATGAATGAATGAATGAATGAATGAATGAATGAATGAATGAATGAATGAATGAATGAAATGAAATGAAATGAAATGAAATGAAATGAATGAAATGAATGAAATGAATGATGACATGAAATGAATGAATGAATGAATGAAATGAATGAAATGAATGAATCAAATGAAATGAAATGAAATGAAATAAAATGAATGAATGAATGAATGAATGAAATGAATGAATGAATGAATGAATGAATGAATTGAATGAATGAATGAATGAATGAATGAAATGAATGAATGAATGAATGAATGAATGAAATGAAATGAAATGAAATGAAATGAATGAATGAATGAAATGAAATGAAATGAATTGAAATGAATGAATGAATGAATGAATGAAATGAAATGAATGAATGAATGAAATGAAATGAAATGAAATGAAATGAAATGAAATGAAATGAAATGAATGAATGAATGAATGAATGAATGAAATGAATGAATGAAATGAATGAATGAAATGAATGAATGACGTGAATGAATGAAATGAATGAATGAAATGAATGAATGAAATGAATGAATGAAATGAATGAATGAATGAATGAATGAAATGAAATGAAATGAAATGAATGAATGAATGAATGAAATGAAATGAAACCAAATGAAATGAAATGAAATGAATGAATGAATGAATGAATGAAATGAATGAATGAAATGAATGAATGAAATGAATGAATGAAATGAATGAATGAAATGAATGAATGAAATGAATGAATGAAATGAATGAATGAAATGAATGAATGAAATTAATGAATGAATGAATGAATGAAATGAAATGAAATGTTTTTACATGAAATGAATTGAAATGAAATGAAATGAAAGAAAGAAAGAAAGAAAGAATGAATGAATGAATGAATGACCAAATAAATGAATAGATAAATAATTAAATATATAAGTAAATAAATAGATAGATAGATAGATAGATAGACAGACAGGCAGATAGATAGATAGATAGATAGATAGATAGATAATATATATATACATTATATATATATATACATTATATATATATACATTATATATATATATATACATTATATATATATATGAATATTGTATTGCTTTCAAAGACTTCATGGATAGTAATGGATTCCATCGATATTTCCATCTAGAATCCTCGATATACAGATTATACAGTACATATCTCAATTGAACGGATACTTTCACAATGGCCAAGTCTTCATCCATGACCCCATGATACCCCAGGGTGACGCGATCTGAGATGCGTGGTGGGTGTGACACTCAGCCATTTGGGGTGAACCTTAGTGACCTTGGTGGCCCTGGTGACCCGGTACCCCGGCGGCAACAGCGTTGAGGCCCACGGCCCCACGGCCCAATCGCTCACAGCGACGACACAACAGCTGGGACCTCAGGAGACTTTGACCAGAGGAAGGAAACATATGGAAACATGACAAACTTACATGAACATATCATATGATACAAACTTCATATCATAAACATTGGAACCAAATAGAACCAAGGGTTCACCCTTTTTCCCTACATTTCACGGATCTTTTATTTTATGGGCCTCCACTGGCCTCCACGCTTTGGGGCTTTTGGGTATTGGGAGTTGAAGCAATCTGGAAATGACATGTCTGAGGCGACACGGACGAGGTGAACTCAGGTGGGGGTGCCAAGGTAGTGTATTCAGAGGTGTCAGGTGGCAGAAAGGACCTTCCCTTCTTAGCCAGCAAAACACAACATTTGGAACAGTTCTCAAAGCTGCATCAGGGTGTCGAATCCAATCGTTTGTCACAACTCTCATCTTGCACCTTTGAGGGGGGATGTATGGCTCTGTAGTTTTGGAGCTGTGGTCAGTGTGCCTATTGATGGAAATCCATACTATTTCACAGTTTCACAGGACCTGTTGGGAAATCATGGGTTGGGGCATCGCTACGCATGGGATTCGCCTGGGCAGGTTCTGAGCAAGACATCGATCAGGACAAGATTCAAAGCGTTCTGACGGAGAACCGCAAGGTGCTGAAGTCTTGCTGCTTTGCGTTGAAGCACCTGCCCAAAAATAGTAAAAACACATCCTGCATTTGGATGTGCTGCTGTTCAGGCTGAAGAATGTGGCAAAGTGGTGGCATGCCATCCCCGGCCAATCCAGGCTAGTTCATGAACATGAACAGCTGCCGTTGAAATGGTTGCAACATGCAGCAGGAGTTTCCTGGCCGAAACAGTGGCCTCTTTGCAAAATTGCAACTTGTTGAACACAATTGAAATGTGATGTTTGACTATGGTGTAGTGTAGCGGCACTTTCAAAATCTTTCATAATATGTCTCGCCGATTCTATTTTCGGGCTCTGTGTGCATAGAGCAGCCCAGGCAATACAGAAAGGCTGGCCTGGGAACCCGAATCTTCCCACCTGAGCCATGGAGTCCTTCGAGTCATCCGGTGCTGCCAAGCGCCGCCGCCTGACATGCCGCGCAATGCCTGCCGATGGTGTGGTCAAGAAGGAGAGAAGTGCGGAGCATGAGGTCGGTTCCGAAAGCTCAGAGGAAGGGAAAATGGAGAGGTATGATCTCCGGTTGCAGTTGATGAGGCAGATTGAGGACATGGAGAATCACATCCGCCGCCTGGCCGACTGCGACAGACAAGAGAGTGTGATGGCAGAAGAGGCAAGTTTTGAAAAGCCGGAAGTTGCTGATAGCGTGAAGGTCAGGAATGAACCCAGTGTTGAGCAGGAAATTAGGCTCAAAACCCCGCAGATTGGGAGGATGGACATGGATTTTTGGGACCCGCCGGTTTCTGGGGCTGGTCGCAGCCGGGCTTTTGATGCGAATGGTCTCCGGCGGCTCTCATCCGCAGGTGGCAGCCATGCCGCGCAAGGTGTGGAAGTCTTCGAATTTGTGGCAGTGGCAAACAAGGAGGCGAGATCAAGAGACAAAAAGAGCAAAGGAGCTCCAGTGGCAATGGCAATGGCAGCTGCTGAGCGTCCCTTTCTGCTTGCCGCGGAGCAGAAGCCAGCTGAGCGCAGGAGATACAAGCTGGCAAAGCAAAGTGGTGTGCGGGACATCCGGTGGAGCACCAGGGCCTTTGCATGGGCGGTCCACTTTCCCAAAGTTGATTCCAAAGGGAAATTCATCAGCTGGACTTCACGACGATTTGCTGTGAAGAAGTTCATGATCTCAGGCTGCACTGAGGCCGAGGCCGATGCAGCAGCTCTCGAGGCTGCGAAGGCCTTCCGCACAGAGCTGGTCGAGAACGGCATCCTCAGAGAGCCCAAGCTGGACCCCAACTTCACTAGCGAAGTGCCTGGCGTCTTTTGGCAAAAGAGTCAGAAAAAGTGGATGGTGGAGGTTCACGTGCAGGTGCACCTGAGGAAAAGGACACGAATTCGTGGCTGCTTCAACGAGAAGGCAGCGGCTGAGGCCAAAGCTCTTGAGCTCCGGGAGAAGCATGGCCTGCAGGGGCAGGTGAAGCCTGTGCCTACGCTGGCAAACAGATATGCTGGGTTGCCGGTGTTACACCCCAAGGTGCCATATCCGGGGGTGAAGTGGAACGTGCAAGAGCAACAATGGCATGCCAAATGCCAAGTTGGTGGAGCCCATCGAAATTTCAGGGTGAAGCCCAAGGACCACTCGGAGGCGGAGCTGGAGCGCTCCTTCGAGGTGGCTGTCGCGTGGAAGAAAAAGCAGGAGAAGGAGAAGCAAGGGAAGGCTGTGAAGCCCAAGGCCAAGCCTCGGAAGAATCAGAGAAGGTGAGTGCAAAAGCCACACATCCTAGAATTGCATGGCTTATTTTCCCAGACTATCGCAGTACAGACCACTCCAATCATGCTTCACAGAGGAAAATCACGAAAGCTAGCTTCTGCTAGCTGAAGTCCCTCTTGCTTTAGCAAGGTATTGAGCCAGCTAAGTACACCCCTCCCCCTCCCCCGTGCTTTTTCACAAGCAGTTTTGCCATGGCTCAACCCCGTCTGGCGACATCGTCGCCATATCGTCGCCATATCGTGGCCATATCGTCGCTATCAGCATCATCAGCATCATCAGCATCATCAGCATCATCAGCATCATCAGCATCATCAGCATCATCAGTCATCAACATCGTCAGACGTACTCTCCACTTCGTATCTCCCAATTCCTCACACTGCTATTTCACCACACCTTCTAATTACCTTTATCCTCTCAGCTAGCTTTCGTCCCTTACCCCAGTCGCGTGCCCAATGATTTTTATTTATTGGTTAACTCTCTGAGCATCGTTTATGGTTATAAAGGTATACATATAGATTCATATAAAATATAAAGCAATCCCAATATGTGTATTTTTATCTATAATTATATATACGTGTACGTATATATATATATATACACATATGTATAAAATGTTAATGTTGATCTGCGTTTTGCTTCGACTGAGTTGGACCTTAAAATTAAAAGAGTCAGGCCTGTGCGGCTGCCAGTTTGGAACTGAAGGCTCATTCTTGGGATGGAACCGTGCACATCGGCTTCGATATCCAACATTCAACTAGGAATGAGTAGAGATGCCAACACCTAAGACAGTACTTGTGATGCACGTTTTTTTTGTGCAATTTTGGGCACTCCGTGGCCCAGGTGCAAGGTTGAAATTCGGTTGTCATCACCAGATCTTGACATATAATTAATATAATTAGTTTGCTTTTTTGATCTTTTTGGCACTGTGCTGCGCAAGGCAAACTGGCAACCAACATCAACCAATATTTGCAGACAAGATATGGCACCATTTGTTTCTGTGAATCACCGAACCCTTTTGGTTCGGGCTTCTGCCCCATGGATCCTTGAAAGCGGGTACCATGCTGCATCCGTGCAGGTCTTGATGAGGGACTCTACAACCAGTCTGGCAGCCTTGAAAGGCTTGGATTGGGACAACATGCTCTGCTGTGTTCGTTTCCACGGGAAGATGCCTTAGCAAACCAGTCATTTAGGGATTTGATGGGATTCATGGGATTCCACTCTCGACAGCGGTGTTTACAAAAAATATAGTTTCTTTTGGCCCACGAAGTGACCTTTATATATATATATATTTCTCGTTGCTTTGCTTGTCGCCTCCCTGCAGCTGCAAGGTATCATCAGCTTGCACCAGGAGGTGGGTCGAGCCATCTCCTCAGCATGCAGCAGCTGCAGTTGCAGCGGCACCTCGAAGTTTGGATCAGCAAGGAGGCGTTATTGGCGCCTGATTTGGGAAGATGATCTTGACTGACTTCAGTACCCTTCGGATATGTTTCAATTGCCTTTGGGTCAAATCACTATCTAACTTCTTGGCTGAGGCGGCCGAGCCTCTGTTGGTCTGCGTCCTGGGTCTAGGGGTCTTCCAAGAGGGAATTACTGTAATAAGTCAGATATGTGTCGGCTCCAAAGTTTTTCAGTTTGGGCTTAGATCATCTTAGATTCAGATGCCACGTTTTGTTTTGTTTCTGATACAAAAGAATCTGGTGACTTTCTTGCATCAGCACCTGACCTTTTCCAGATTCTACACATACTTTTGCAACGATGTTGGTCTGTAGTGACCTGTCCAGAATCTGCTTGCAGTGAGCTTCAGACCAAGGTTCGCAACATCCCTGGCATGTTAGAGAAGTATGGAAGCCGCGATCGAGAGACTCAGGACGCGATTAGAGTGCGACACATCCTATTGGGTGTAGGTTGACTACCAAGGTGTGGATTTTTCTGAGAAAAATTGAAAACAGAACTGTTACAGAGGACAAGTTTGGAAGTTTGGCCAAGTGCTGTGTGATTCGCTGCCTCTGTTCTCGGTTCATGGAAAGGAGCTCGCTGAAGAAGCAGCAGAGACGTTGATCGCACGACTGAATCCGTACAGTGACGGCCCTCAAAGTGGATATTCAGATCACAACAGATCAAAAGGTATGTGCTCAGGGCAAGTATTCCAGATTGTATGGCTTGCGGCAAGGTATCTCGCAGAGTCACATCTACCATTTTTGTGCAGCCTTCCACCTCGGCTTGTACATAGACAACAAGTACAAAAGACACCATAGCACATGAAGGCCCAGAAACTCAATACTTCACCAAGGGACAACGAGCTGTCTCCATGGCGACAAACTGTCAAGCTCACAAAGCACCAAACAAGAGCCCCAAGAAACAGCCGATCTGAAAACATGCTACAACATGTTCACGAACATGTTCTCTTCCTTTGCACCTGAGAATTCTGTTCCATTCTGCATCCACTCTGCATCCATTCTGCATCCATTCTGCATCCATTCTGCATCCTTTTGCCCCAGACTTTCTCGGAATTTCCCCAGCCATCTGCCGTCACCGTCACTGCCGTGTGCCATGGATGTGGCGTTGCCGCCACCCAAGCGCCCTGACCGCGACGCGCGGCAGGTGGCCGTGGAGATCGCGCCGCGGCGGCCCGACTCCTCGCGGCGCGGTAAGCGGCGGTCGCCCAGCCGGCAGCAGAAGGACCCATGGGATGTGGGGTGTTACCAACCAAAATATAGGTCTAGTAGAATTGATTACATCATATACATTCATGTTATATATAACTCTCTCTCTCTCTATATATATACACACATATATTATCATATATTACACATATTTATATGCATTTACATTCAACATATGAAAGATAAATCAATACTTGATGAAAAAAGGGTACGGGCGAAGCCATGCCTATAGCCAGAATCCCATCAACAGCCCAACTCTTTTGGCGATGCCATTGGGTTTGGGCCCTTCCAGGCGGACCTGGTGAATCCACCCCATGGAAGCAACGACCCGGCCCCTGTGGCTGGTTCAGTGGCGAGTGGTCCTGGGCAGTTCCGGAACTACACGGCCGACACACGATACACGGAGAGCGATCCCTTGAGACATGGCCTGGATGTGAAACAGGTGGGGTCACTCAGGCTCAAACCTCCAAAGATCTCCAGAGATTCTTTCCAGCATCGCCAGTCCATTCCAGTCCTTTTTTTTCCTTTTCGTCTCCGCTCAAAATTTGGTTGGGTACGCCTGGGTTGGATTATCAGATGTATATAGGTATTTCATCATCCACTGATTGAAAATCGACCGGGGATCATTGGGCAAGATTCGGATGGTTGCTATGGTTTTCAGGTGGCTGCCACGCCGTTTGCGATGGGCCCCAAGTCTAATCCAAGTTCTCAGACTTCGAGCTTTCGCACCTTGGACATCTCCAAGGCAAATGAGGGCAGACAGAATTGGACTCGCATCCTGGTGTACAGTCCCTAGCAAATACTTTTTTCTTTTTGATTTGGTTCCTCCTATCAGTCTTTATTAAACATCCCCGATCTTTATGATCTTTATCATCCTTACAGAATGTTTGCTTGGATCTTTTCGGAGCTGGGTTTTCATCAGTGCAGCCCCGATTGGCCTGTCAGTGCGGCATTTTTCTCTGTGCTACGTAGTACACGCAAGTTTGGGGAGGTCTTTTTGAGTGAGCCAAACATTTTTGGAACGCGGGCTTTCATGGTCTTGCACAAGGCGCATTTCTCAGTCGCTGAGGAATAGATACCTTTTTGACTCCGTCCGGTCATGCCCATGACGATGAGTTTGGCCGGTCTCCTCAACGAAGACCTACGAGCCGCTCTCGAAATGAGGTGGTCAAACTGCCCCGGAATTCATTCAGATGAAGCCTTTCGATGCATTTTGCGGTTTGGCCAGTGTTGTCATCAACAAATTCTGCTCGCATCTGCTCGCCATGTTGCCATGGGAGGCCAGCGCCAAAAGCTTGGCGCAGGACGTGTTCATCACCGACCTGTCGGAGAAGTTCGCCGAGCTGCGACGGCAGATCCAGGAGGACACCCAGCGCCTCTTGCAGCCCATGTGCCACGATCGAAGGAGGTTTCAATACCTTCGGTGCTGAGTGGTATGGCATGGAGTGTGGTAGAATTTAGGGCAGGTAACAACGCCATGTATCACCATGCAACATATGTAACATATTGTAACATTTGTAACATTATGTAACATTATGTAACACTCTTTGCGTTTCTTTGTGTTCTGTGGTGTTGCCAACACTGGCCAACACAATACGGGCTACAGTTCGGGCCGAGCCAAGGCAACATGAGCTGGACTCTGAGATCTCCAAGACCAAAGAGATTGTGCAGACAGTCCGCACTGACAATCTCAAGGCTGTCGAGGAAATCAGGTACCTTGGCTGCCTTTTACAAAGATGACACCCATGGGTTTCAATTCTTGATTCTTAAATATTCTTGATACACACAGCCATTCATTTGCCTTGCTCTGAAACTAAAAAATCCAGGCGTTTGCGATCAATGGAGCAGCACAAACAGCTGCTACAAGCATATCCGACCCCAATCGACAAGGATGTGTTTGAGACAGATGCTGGGCGAAAATGAGGGATGTGGAGGCTGGAGGGAAGTTGTAGCTGTGGCCTTGCAAACTTGATTGGAAAACGAGTGATCCCCACCAACTGAAATTCTATCGGCACTTTATTTGCATTGTATTGTATTTGACATATCTGACATTCTATTTGCGAATAGCTTGACATTCTATCTGACAAATAGTCTGACATTCTAGCTGACACTTTATCTGGTATATGTTTATAGCATATATTCTGACATTCTATCTGACACACATTATAGTTTGACATCTTTTCAGATATGTTATCTGACAATTTATCCGACATTTTATCTGGCGTTCTATCTGGGATTCTTATTTGACATATGTTCTGACAGTTTATCTGGCACTATATCTGACATTTTATTGTGCTCGGGTCCGGCGGGGCTCGGAGAGCTGGCGAGCTTGTGATAGAGTTGTGTAGAGGAGGCTGGTGAGGAAGCTGGCCATGATGTGCTGGCGAGGCAGCTGGCGATGACGTTGGCTATGAGCTTCGCGACTTGGCGAGGAGGAGAGGAGAGGAGGAGGATCAGGAGGAGGAAAAGCTTAGCAAGATCTAGAATCTAGAGGCCCTCACCCGGCAGGCGAAACCAAGACGGCCTTGGACCGTAAGACATACGATGAACTGGTCATCGTTTTAAATTTCTCCAAGGATGATTCGAGGGAGTTTCAATTACCTTTCATACACGTTGAAACCTTCCAAACACCTCACCAAGGAGATCAAACGCGTGACAGAGGCGATTGAAGCACCTCAGCTGAAACTGCAATCCGACAGAACTGGTCGCTGACCTCGCTGTGTCTAAGGGCTTGTCTGATGCTGTCGCTTCGGTCAAGGAGGAGGTTTCTTCCATGAAGGTAGCGGTACGGTGTGTGTGGATGTGTGTGGTGTTTTTTGAAGAACTTTCCGGAGTGCAGAGCTAGCTCAAACCATGAAGTTGGTGAGTTGTGAAGCGTTGTGAAGCGTTGTCTCAGATCTGTGGTTCATACTCAGCTCGCGAAACCACATTCTAGTGCTCTCATTGTTGCTGGCCTGCAGGAAGCGAACGATGTGCTGCCCCCAAGCAGAGGCATCAGCTTTCGCCGAGGTCGCAGTCCTACTGCGACTTAGCTAAGGCATGAAGGTGCAGGGAATACAGCGAAGTTAAATCAACCTCAAAAAGGGAATCTCGCTTAGACTCATGTTGATTCTGCCTTGGTGGCCTTGTTTGCCCTTTTCAGTTTTGGTCCTGCCGTTCCTCTCCCAAGTCCTCCCAACCTCTTGCTGACAAGCCGCTTCAGCTGTGCTTTGCCCGAGGAGGCCGCCCATCTTGCGGTTCCAGGCAACAGCAACCTGGATGACACGCTTCAATCCATTCGAGATGTTCTGTCAGAGATGGATTTCACGGACATGTTGAATGACATCAAACGATCCATTCCCGCGGACGAATTCAGAATGGCTCTAACCATGGTCCAGGAGAGTTGGGGACGAAGTGTGCTGAATCTGTCACGTTTGGGACAGCAGTGTGCGCTTTTTCTTCATTTCCATAGATAACTGGGACCCAAACGTAGATAGACCAGCAACCCATTTTCAACCTAATATTGGCCTAATCACTGCCTAATCAATATCATGGCATGGGTATGTCAAATTGGCATGAGCATGTATCAGCCAGGACCTGGGATGAATACCTGTCAACTTTTGAGCATCCTGTGTTTAGTCTTGGTTGCGTAATTGAGACAGGGACCAAGTGATGCTGGTGTGCACCGAAGGAGCAGATGGTGGAAGTGTTCAAACAACTGCGTAGCTGGTCAGCGCTAGAGTGGGGGGTCAGTGCTAGAGCGGGGACAAACCAACTGGATCCCACCAAGCTGATCTTCCGGATTTCACATCTGCAAAACGTGCAAAATGTTGGGCCCTGACAAACTTAGGTGCTGTACAGGAGGAGGTGCAGAATCGACCGAATGAGGTGGACTTCACACCTGTTCTCGATGCCTTTGTCACTTGGCAGGAGTCAGATTTCGGGTCCTCACAATCCGAAGGTCCCTTTAAATTTGGCAGAGGCCTGCTTGACAACCTTTATTTAACTTTTTTGCAGCCCTTCGCTATTTGCTGCAAAATCAATTCTGCCCCCAACAACAAACAAACCTCCTCCGCAGTTGCAGACTTGTTTCAAGAACTTTTGTGGTTCACATTCAATGGAGTAGCGGATGGTAGCAGAGCCTGAGGCTAGCAGCCCACTCCATGACATCTTAGAGGTCAAATCTTCCCTGGAGCAAGCGAAGGCAGGACTTTTATTCACTAGGCCAGAGGGGATTACATTCCTTGATGCCCCGGTATGTCCAGGTATTCAAGTCGCTTCGCGACGAGAACCGCCCGCACGCAGAGAATAGGACAGAGAGGAAAGAAGCGGGCGTACTTGGCCCAACCAAAAGCCGACTGGGGTCAAACTTGGCCGTCCTTGGCCTTAAGTTGGGCCGAACAGGAGCCTCACTTGCGCCCAACTTGCGCCTAACTTGCGCCGAACTCGGGCCAGTTGGCTCCAACTTCGGCCCAACTTGAGCCCAACTGGGGTCCAACATGGCGCAATTTGGGCACGTTTTGGGCGCAAGTTGGGCTTGGCATGCGCAACGTGGTCCTGTGTGGGGCCATTTGGCGCCCAAGTTGGGCCCAAGACAAGCCCAATGCGGGCAACCTGGTCTCACACGAACCTCAAAGCCAAAAACGTCGGAAATAGCGGTAAAAACGCACGTTTTCAGCGTGTCGCATTGAAGCCGCAAAACTGGCTCGGGTTGGGCCCAACTTAGCCGAAAGGGGCCAGGCCCAACTTCGCTGTCTTGACCCAATTGGAGCCCAAGTTGGCGCCAATAGGTATCAATAGGTCATATTGGGCCAAACTTGGGGGGCCCAAAGCGATCCAGATGGACCCTACATTGAAGCCATGTGATGCACATGGAAGTCCAAGTCAGTTCGGCACCTTAGGCGACAGCTTCACACCGAGTTGGGCCCAACGACAGCGCAACATGGGGAACATTGCTTCAAATGAAGCGTCATCAATAGCAAAAAAACATGGAAAATAGATGAAAATACCAGTGAAAACGGGCGTTTTGAGAATTTCGGATTGGGCCGGCAATGTCCAGGCCATATGGACTTCGACTTGGGCCGAACTTGCTCCCAAATGGGTCCTAGTTGCGGCCAAGTTGCACCATGGAGCCAATTGGTCCAAGTTGGGCCGAACTTGAGGCCTTCCTCGCCGAAGTTGACGAAGCTGTACCAGTCTGACAGATCTGTCCGTATCCCTCGCTGCTAAACTACCACACCTCGGCACCTTTGGTGCGGGCGGATTTATATCGTATTTGTTTGCACGAAAGGGTGGTCGGACCAACTACATATATACAACATCATGTGACCGACATGAACGAACATGACATCCAGAGGTGAGTGATATTCTCTGGACGTGAGGATAGGTTTTCCATCCATAGATTTTCCATCCATAGACTGCATGTTAAGCTGGGACAGGTAGATATGGCGAAGAACACAGAGCACCTGGCTGCCCTGTGGTCGCAGTCCCTTGGTCAACAGAGAGGAAAATTCAATGCCCGAGCCACCAAGAAAAACATGATGGGCAACAGAGCGAAAGTGTCCAGCGCCCTTGATATCCCAACCAAGTAGAAAGGAGTCTCTAACTATCCAAGCAGTTTGTCTAGGAGATCCTTCCTTTTTTTGACAAAACTTGAGCACAATTCATACCAGTTGAGAGTTCAGCTACTATCAATCGTTTGAAGTCCGACTTGCTAGTGGATGTATCATCATCATCATCATCATCATCATCAGCATCACCATCACGATTTTGATCATTGATCATGATTATGATCTTGAATGATCATGATGTTGTAACAGCGGATCTCCCATTTAACACACTTCACCCATAAGATCCGATTCGTGGTTGAATCGAGGCTGCCGCCTGTTGACTTTGCACCGGTTTTCGACTGCGTCAGAGCCAATCGAGTCGAAGTGGACATGTCACCTGTGCTGACAGCGGTTCAGGCGCACCGGCGATGATATCCTGGGAGTGCCATTTCTAACCACTTTTGGAATTTATCAACGGTTCATTGGATGCTTCCAATTTCAGTATGATAGCCGGGATAATTGAAAAACATGCCGTGCTATCCCCACTAGAATTGCATGAAGGCGCTAACGCGTTTACCATCACAGATTCCGACCTTGAACATCATTTGAAGTGCTCAACATTTTTTCGCCTTTGTGAGGAGGTGAATGTGAAAGAGAATATGCAGCAACAATTTGGGGAAATTTTGGCGGAGATCAATCACCGACAAAGCAATCTCGACTTTTCTGAATTGTTGGAGTCTATCAAAGCATCGAGACTTGGATGAACTTGTTCTGAGCATCACCAAAGTCGGTCATTGCTGGGTGAGGCCGCGATGCCAAAATGTCGGGGTCACATTGAGATCACTTGATTCTATTCCTACAAATCAGATTTCCAGCATCGCAGCCAGTCTTCCTTCCTCATTTTCCAGGGCATCAAATTAAGATGGAGAGACTTCACCGGATCTTTTTCATCGAACTTGGTACAAGTTCCCGGCTGGACCGAGGAAAATGAAGGTGGATTTCAATGGGGTAATTGCGAGCATCAACGACTCGTGCGAAGAGGTCGGCAACCTCATTACAGAGTTGAACCTTGGCCACATTGAAAAACACATACCAGCATGCGTATGGCGGTTCTTCAAGTTTCACGCCAGAGCCATGCTTCGAATTGTGGTTGCATGATCAGTCTGCACTGAGAAACGGCTGAAACTGTCCCAGGAAACCATCGCTTTCAAACTTGGAGCAATCGAATGCCTCGATGCTGGAGCGACTTCAGGTGCGGCAGATGAAACCTGCTGGAACCACAAAGAAAACGTGATCGCCCAACAAGATTTGCAAGAACAACAGCAACATCTGAAAAACAACAGTGAAGATATCCAACCCCAATTGAATGGGAAATCTCAGCTAACATCATGCATAGAGTAAAAAGCAGAGCCTGCTAATGGCCGTTGCTGAGAGATGTGCTTGTGTCCTGTAGTGGTGGCTGCACAGGAGTTGCAACAGGTCCAAGACAAGGGCGTGCTTACTGGCATCGCAGGTCTCAAAGATTGGCCGCTTGGTGGCTGGAAAGGAAAAGGATGAGGTTAAGGGTTGAAGACCTGCTGCAACAAATGAGGTTGGACAAACCCTTGTAGAATGCGGCCTGCTTGCTTTGATTGCTGATGAGAAGCAAAATCTAACACTGATGCGATTTCTCATGGTGGCAATGGTTACCTCAGCAAACCGGCATTGATTTTCTGTTAGATGACTTCAGGACAGAGCGACTCTCCCAGAAGTTCTCCATACTGCTGCAAACAATCAGTGAAAAAGAAGACCAAGAGGTGAAGGTGCGATCCGGGGGCCAGGTAGATGTTTTAGACCGTCCAAGGCAGCTGTTGGGTTATTGTGGAAACGCACTGATGTGCGCTGACGTGTTGCCAGGTGAATTTTACTCCGGTGCTGGAGGCTATAGAACGGAACAAGGCGCAGCTGAGCCGACCACTTGTCTGTTTTAGGCCTCTGTCATTTGATTCATTAACCGCGGGGGAAGCCATGGCTTGGTAAGCCGATAATTTCACGTGTCAAAGGTGGATATGTGTTGCAGCTTCCACCTTCATGGCTTGGTAAGCCGATAATTTCACGTGTCAAAGGTGGATTTGTGTTGCAGCTCCCACCTTGGCAGTCACCTCGTGAGTTGCCTCGTCGCACGATCCGCAAGATCGCCCCGCGGAGGTTCATATCGATTTCTCTCCGATACTGGCATCAATCAAGAAGAACTGTGACTTCTCAGAAACTTGTCGCGCCTTTAGCCAGACTTTGGATTTTTACCCTTGTTCATTTGGGAACAGAAAAGAAAGGGAAAGAAGGAAAACAAGGAAGGCGAGAACAAGCAAAGGACGGAAGTGAAAGTAGCACGGACATGGAAGGATTCAAACCTTCAGAGAATGCGCTCAAAGTCAGCTGACTTCAAAGACAACAGCGCCACACGCATAGGGCAACAGGTCCTTGCAGCAAGAGTTAAGTTGTTCTTCTACTTGTTACAAGTGCATGAATGCAAACATAGCTGTGAGATGCTGTGAGTGCATGGACTGACAAACTCTTTAATTTTCACCCTTGTTCATATGGGAACAGAACATACAGAACTGACAAACTCAGACATGTCATCTGGGTTCACCAATGAGGACGTGACTGAAGACATGGCTAGGGTGCTGAAGACCATTCAGGAGATGAGTCTCAGCTGCATTGAAAAACCAGTTAGTTAAGCTAGTTGTGGTCGGAGTTGGGGCGGATTCTTTAAAAAGGCGAGGAATGTCGATGGAATATGATGGAATTACAGACAGCAGATGGTGGCATTTTTCTGGGAAGGAACTTCATACCCTCCGATGTGTAATAATTTGTGGCTCAGCCATCTCCGCACCTGAGCTCAGGAAAGTGCAAGTGGACTTCACTCCAGTTCTGCGGGCTGTGCGCGAGGGCAAACAGGCTGGATGCCATTTGTGATGGTCGGGCCAAGGTGGGTTGGCTCAGTGCACATTTGCTCCGTTGTCCATGAACCAAGGAGACAGTCTTTGAACTCTTGAGCGCCTTCCGGGATCAATGCACTGACAATGGTGAGCTGAACGACAACATCGTCCGGGCCGCTGGATGTCCCTGGTGTGCAGCATGTGCAGCGCCCGTGGTGTGAAAGTTCCTATGTGGACCAAGGTCCAGTTGCGGGAATCGACTCAGACGAATCTCAAACAGTTGAAGGAAAGCATGGAAAAGGAGTCCAAAGAGGCCCAGCTTGAACCCCGCACCGCTTACACTTTGTACATCCTGATACAATGAATTTCCACGAAAATGTCATTGCTTCGGCAGGCTCTGACATCCGAAGTGCTTCGATCTATTCGTGAAAAGGAGGTGAGGATTGACATCGAGATCAAGAAAGCCCTGGAGCAGAACAATGATCTGGCAGAGAAAGGAGCCTCTGAGATGCAGGCCGTTCACCGGTGCACCAAAGAAGGGGAAGAACAGGGAAAAACAAAATGAACACCATGGAAAAAACACATGAACATGACAGGAAAATCTCACAACACTACGTGCTCCAGACTGGGTTTGGCCCAAGTTCTGACCGGAGGCCAAATTGGAGGAAGAGCTTCGTTCGCTGCGTGATTCTGTGACTAAAGAACTCAAACAGAATGAGACCCGCGGTACAGCCGAAAGTCAGAAACTAGAACATGCCTTGCGAGCCATTGAGGTGCGACGCTTGGTGACAGGGATAGTCGACTGGCCAGCTTCTGTTTGATGAGGGAAATCAAAGGAAATCCGCTGTTTGAACATTCACATGTACAATCCTGTGACTACATGAATTCTTGCAAAGAACAGGGATTTCAAAACTGATGAAGCTGAAGTGGACTGTGCAACTGGTTTTGGAGCCATATTTATGGAGAATCAGCTTTTATATTATATATATATAAATTGCAGAAAGGAGCTACTGTATGACGATATCAAGCGTTGAATATCGAGTCAGCAAAGATGAAATCAACACCTCATCATGTTCACTATTTTCTCAATCTGGCTCCCATTCAGTGGTCCGGAGGAATTTGACATTGAAATCAGCAACAGCAAGAGGCAAGACACCCACAACTTGCTCTTTCTTGGCGATGCTTTCAGGTGCGCCCGCAAGTCACCATGGATCTGGCTCCCGTCTCAAAGTTGGTGGAGGACCATGGAACCAGTATGCCAACAGCATCAACAAACCATGCAATGAACCCGAAGATGCTTTTCCCTTCCGCAGGATGACCTTGTTTTGTATAGGGAGCATTGTTCATTGTTGATTGATGTTGCTTCTTGATTGTAATGCAATGTGGTGGATATCAACACGACGGATCCCGAATTTGAACTTTTGCAGGAGATTCAGGTCCAGCTTCACCGCATCGATCAAACCAATGTGCATTTGACCGAGGTTGTCCAGGAACAGGCCAGGACATTCCGGAGCATGATGTAACCAGGTGTACCGTGAACACTTGAGCCACTGGTTGAACAAGTTGTCAGAGGCTGATCAATGGATCCAACTTTGATTGAAATCTCTTTGGCACAAGGGGAACCACAGATTTTGGCATTTTGAAACCCATTATATAAAGAAAATAAGATATATAAGAAAATACATCATCCCCCTTTTAGGATCTTTTAGGGCCATGTCTTTGCCCAGCTGCAGGCCCATGGCCAAGAAAATCTCCAGGAGGCGTTGGCGGAAGCTTCGGACGCTTCACAAAGGCATGGAAGGAATCCAACAACTGTAACTGTAACTGTACAACTACTGGATGGCCATGGCGGCCATGGATTTTGGATGATTTTGCATGATTGTTGATGATTTTTTATGATGTTTGCTAATTCTTGTCCGCAAAAGTTGGTGGTTGTTCGCTGAAAAGTTGCTGCTTGGAAAAGGATTCCTGGCGGATACGCTCAACAACAACGTTTCGGACCTTTGTGGGCGCGCGCGCCGACATGCTAACTTTTTGATTCATATCTTCAGCCACGCGTTGTCATCTGACACTTTCCCAATTTTTTTGGGATCGCATCCAACCTGAGACATTCTGGCTTGCCGGTAGAAACCATGGCCTGCAACAGTGTTTCTAATCCGGGACTATCCAATTTTTTTTTGCATTGCCAAAGGAATTATGTGTAACATCACGCGTGTGTGCAAGTGCAAGAGAAGATCTTACAACGTAACATCACGCGTGCGTGCAAGTGCAAGAGAAGATCTTACAACGCAACATCACGCGTGTGTGAAAGTGCAAGAGAAGATCTTACAACGTAACATCACGCGTGTGTGCAAGTGCAAGAGAAGATCTTACAACGTAACATCACGCGTGTGTGCAAGTGCAAGAGAAGATCTTACAACGTAACATCACGCGTGTGTGCAAGTGCAAGAGAAGATCTTACAACGTAACATCACGCGTGTGTGCAAGTGCAAGAGAAGATCTTACAACCTAACATCACGCGTGTGTGCAAGCGCAAGAGAAGATCTTACAACGTAACATCACGCGTGTGTGCAAGTGCAAGAGAAGATCTTACAACCTAACATCACGCGCGTGTGCAAGTGCAAGAGAAGATCTTACACAACGTAACATCACGCGTGTGTGCAAGTGCAAGAGAAGATCTTACAACGTAACATCACGCGTGTGTGCAAGTGCAAGAGAAGATCTTACAACGTAACATCACGCGTGTGTGTGTGTGTGGACCATCTGAAAAGATGTAAAACTTCTAAACATCCTTTTTAAAGCAGGGGGATGGAGTGTGCTTCAGATGTCTCCATCCAACGAAGACGCATCTGGTGCACAGTGATATGGATTGGGGACGCTCAATCCACGTACCTGCTCAATCTTTTTCATTTTCGTCAATGGCGACTGGCTAAGCCAAGTACCGGCATGTCGTTTTCCAATTTACATCATGGATTATGCTGCTGCTGAACCTTCCTCAGAACTTGGTTTCAACAGGTTTCAATCCACTGTACGGTTTTCGCAATCTGATTTACTGCTGACTTCGTCAGATGGAACAGTTGCTTTTTGCAAGGACAAAGAAAGAATTCATCTACACTGGTTTTCTCGCCCAGTCATCCAATTTTTCCTGTCAGACTTTAGGGGATTGTTTGTGCACGCCCGATGCACTCCACAACAGTAATTCGATAAGATATTTCTGAGCAAGTGTGTCACTCATACCGTTGTCCGACAAGGTGGTATGAGCCCTTCGGGGAAAGCCTTTCCAGGCTAACAATTGACGGTAACACGATGTCTGAATTTACACTTTTGAATTAGTAATTCATCTAAGTAAAGTGAACAGCTGGCCTTTTCATTTCTTCGTCTCACATGTCGGTCGAGTGAGCGTTGAACAACTGGCCGCTGTATGTGGCTTCACCATTTTCCAGAGATGCAAGGGTTTGTAGCCTGAAGCCACGACAACCTTCGTTCGGTTATATCAAGAGACTGACCGCAGCCATTTTTCATGATCAGGTATCAGGACATGCTTTACAGGTGTGGTCACTTCTTTTTTGGTTTCTCGGTGAGGTTGAAGTAGGGGTTGAATCTTAAGCCGTCTATAGGGTTGGAACTTGACAGCCGAGGGCCTTTGAGCCTTATCACGAATTTTGCATGCGTTGTGGATGCATCATGTCATTAACTAGTTCCCCATGGGTCCCTTTTTCTTCCTTTTTCATGTGTTCTTGCGTTCTCCTCTCTCCAGGTAGGTTTGGCCCGTTGCGTGCTGAGGTTGTTGTAGGTTTTCGCCGTGTCAGGTTGGTTCAGGCGCTTCTGTCCTCCCCCTCCTCCGCTGGTCTTGTTCCGTTTTCCGTCGGCCTCCGCTTTTCTTTTCCCTTGCCTTTCCAGGGTTGCCCGTTCTGGGCTAGGTTTCATGTGTTGGTGTTTGCTCTTTCCCTCTTCTTTTGCGTTCCCCTCTTTGCGTCCTGGTTAAGTAATTTTCATCTCATTGTCATCTTCACCTCATCTTCATTTCCCTTCCTCTTCATTTTCATCTCATTGTCGGGACCTTAATTTCCCACCCTCCTGCGGGAGGGGGTGTGTGTGTGAACCATCGAACCATCTGAAAAGATGTAAAACTTCTAACTTAGCAGGGGGATGGAGTGTGCTTCAGATGTCTCCATCCAACGAAGACGCATCTGTTGCACAGTGATATGGATTGGGGACGCTCAATCCACGTACCTGCTCAATTTTCATTTTCGTCAATGGCGACCGGCTAAGCCAAGTACCGGCATGTCGTTTGGTTTTACAATTTCCATTATGGATTATGCTGCATCTGAACCTTCTTCAGAACTTCGGTGTCAACAGGTTTCAATCCACTGTACGGTTTTCGCAATCTGATTTACTGCTGACTTCGTCAGATGGAACAGTTGCTTTTTGCAAGGACAAAGAAAGAATTCATCTACACTGGTTTTCTCGCCCAGTCATCCAATTTTTCCTGTCAGACTTTAGGGGATTGTTTGTGCACGCCCGATGCACTCCACAACAGTAATTCGATAAGATATTTCTGAGCAAGTGTGTGTGTGTGTGGACCATCTGAAAAGATGTAAAACTTCTAAACTTTTTATTAAGCAGGGGGGCAATCTCATGTTTGCAGCTGATTGCCCAACGAAGAGGGCTGCATTCATGACTGATATGACTCTGGGACGCTGGAGTCACGTACCTGCTATTTCAATTTTGTCGTCAATGGCAACCGGCTAAGCCAAGTACCGGCATGTCGACTCAAATTTCATTTCTTTTCTGCACTGTTGTCGCAATCTGGAATTACTTTCGATCAAGTATGAATGGTTCAGTTACATCAGAACCTTCCTCTGAGCAAGGACGTAGAAAGTTTACTTCGCACTGAAATTCACGCTGGATCAACCAATTTTTCCTGGCAGTTTTAAGGGATTGTTTTGTGCACGTGTGATGCATTCCACAACAAAATTCGCAATGTTGTTTCTGAGCAAGTGTGTCATTCCTGCTGTATACGTCAAGTTGGCAGGAACCCTTCGGGGAAAGCCTTTCCAGGCTAACAATTGACAGTAAATCGATGTCTGAATTTACACTTTTGAATTAGTAATTCGTTTAAGTAAAGTGAACTGCTGGCCATTTTTCTGGTCTCACACGTCGGTCGTGAAGTATGTGTTGAACAGCTGGCCGCTGTACTGGGCCTCTTTTCTTTTTCGCTGAATTGCATAGTTGGAAGCCACGTTAACATCCGTTTTTTCAACGTTGCTTGAGAGCTTGACAGACAAGATGCATCATGACATGGTTCCATTTGGAGGCGTCAGGTCATGCTTTAGGTGTGGTTCTCCTTTCTTTTATGGTCGTTGGTGAGGTTCAATTGTGCACCTAATTCACTTGAATACTGACAGCCGTCGATGGGGTTGAAATGAAAGCCGAGGGCCTTTGAGCCTTATCACGAATACTGCATGCGTTGTGGATGCATCATGTCAACAACTAGTTCCCCATGGGCCCCCTTTTTCATGTGTTCTTGCGTTCTCCTCTCTCCAGGTAGGTTTGATCCGTCGCGTGCTGAGGTTGTTGTAGGTTTTCGCCGTGGCAGGTTGGTTCAGGCGCTTCCGTCTTCCCCCTCCTCCGCTGGTCTTTGTCCGTTTTCCGTCGGCCTCCGCTTTTCTTTTCCCTTGCCTTTTCAGGGTTGCCCGGTTTGGGCTAGGTTTCATGTGTTGGTGTCTGCTCTTTCCCTCTTCTTTTGCGTTCCCCTCTTTGCGTCCTGGTTAAGTAACTTTCATCTCATTGTCACCTTCACCTCATTCTCATTTCCCTTCATCTTCATTTTCATCTCATTGTCGGGACCTCAGTTACCAAAACCGCCTCGCGGCAGCGAGGCGTGTGTGTGGACCATCTGAAAAGATGTAAAACTTCTAAACTACTTTTTTAAGCGGGGGGCAATCTCATGTTTGCAGCTGATTGCCCAACGAAGAGGGCTGCATTCATGACTGATATGACTCTGGGACGCTGGAGTCACGTACCTGCTATTTCAATTTTGTCGTCAATGGCAACCGGCTAAGCCAAGTACCGGCATGTCGACTCAAATTTCATTTCTTTTCTGCACTGTTGTCGCAATCTGGCATTACTTTCGATCAAGTATGAATGGTTCAGTTACATCAGAACCTTCCTCTGAGCAAGGACGTAGAAAGTTTACTTCGCACTGAAATTCACGCTGGATCAACCAATTTTCCTGGCAGTTTTAAGGGATTGTTTTGTGCACGTGTGATGCATTCCACAACAAAATTCGCAATGTTGTTTCTGAGCAAGTGTGTGTACCGTCTGAATAGACGTTAATCTGGAATTACTTTCGATCAAGTATGAATGGTTCAGTTGCATCAGAACCTTCCTCAGAGCAAGGACGTAGAAAGTTTACTTCGCACTGAAATTCACGCTGGATCAACCAATTTTTCCTGGCAGTTTTTAAGGGATTGTTTTGTGCACGTGTGATGCATTCCACAACAAAATTCGCAATGTTGTTTCTGAGCAAGTGTGTGGACCATCTGAAAAGATGTAAAACTTCTAAACATCCTTTTTAAAGCAGGGGCTAAAAATTACCAGCTTTGCTGGTAATTTTTAGGGCACCTTTTTGGTGTCTTTTTGTGTGTGTTTGCTTTCATGTCTTTTTGTGTCCAGACTTCGGCTCAATGGCAAGGATGCCCAATCGGGTCCCCACTGGCGTCTCGAATCTCTCGTATTCGGTGCTGTCCAATGTTGGTCTGGTTGACGCTGGTACAGAGGCAATTTGCCGATCTGTCTATGGTGCTTCCGAATATCAGCGTTTGGTCAGTGAGTATGAGAGAGTTCGAAGGTTTGGGGCGATACTGTCACCAAGAGAATTCCT